TGGTCCGCAGACAGTGGTCCGCGGACCAGTGGTCGGGCTATCTCGATACTGCCAAATCTACAATAACAAAACGTCCAAAATCGTGTGTTGAAAAATTAAATACTTTAACATGGCTTTCTCCGACATTCCGACATTCTGACAAGTAAAACACAAGTAAGACACGAGTAAAACACAAGTAAAACACAAGTAAAACACAAGTAAAACACAAGTAAAACACAAGTAAAACACAAGTAAAACACAAGTAAAACACAAGTAAAACACAAGTAAAACACAGGTAAAACACAGGTAAAACACAGGTAAACACAGGTAAAACACAGGTAAAACACAAGTAAAACACAAGTAAAACACAAGTAAAACACAAGTAAAACACAGGTAAAACACAAGTAAAACACAGCCAGCTGGCAGCATTTTATTTGCAGTCGTTCATAAACTGATGTTGGCAATGGAGATCAGGAACTCTTTGGCGGCTTGAGATTGCCTTGTAGGTAAAGAGTCGCTCTTATAAACCACAACGCGACGGCTACTCGGACTCTAATAGATACGGATAACCAAATACCAGAAGTTAAGTATGTTTTACGCTAAAATCAAATGTAGAATATTTTAGAAATCCAATATCAACCAACTTGATCAACCAACTTGCTGACATAGCACATTGTTTAAATACTGCACCTAACACCATTATTGATTATACATTATAAGATCAAAGAATATTGAAAGTAACATTTTTGTTAGCTACGATCCCGGTCCAAATTCTGGCTTAATCCCGGTCCCGGTCTTATTCCCGGTCCCGGCACTTTTTTCCAGTCCCGGGCCCGGCCAAAAAAGCGGTCCCGGTCGATCCTTGGTTGGCATATGAATTATGAATGTTTGGAATGAGAAGAAGCATTACGAGAATCTGAATAACGTGCATTTCTATACGTTGAGGCACTTTGTTCTTGATGTAAAATTGTGGACAATCAGATTTCGTCAGAAAATTAAGTGTTTACAGTTAATATTGTAAACCTTAGCCAGATACCCACTAAATCTCAGTGGTAATCTCACTAAATCTCACGAGGCAGGAGACACATCCTTAGCCAGATAGTAATCTCACTAAATCTCACGAGGCAGGAGACACACCCTTAGCCAGATAGTAATCTCACTAAATCTCACGAGGCAGGAGACACACCCTTAGCCAGATAGTAATCTCACTAAATCTCACGAGGCAGGAGACACATCCTTAGCCAGATAGTAATCTCACTAAATCTCACGAGGTAGGAGACACACCCTTAGCCAGATAGTAATCTCACTAAATCTCACGAGGCAGGAGACACACCCTTAGCCAGATAGTAATCTCACTAAATCTCACGAGGCAGGAGACACACCCTTAGCCAGATAGTAATCTCACGAGGTAGGAGACACACCCTTAGCCAGATACTCACTAAATCTCAGGAGGCAGGAGACACATCCTTAGCCAGATAGTAATCTCACTAAATCTCACGAGGTAGGAGACACACCCTTAGCCAGATAGTAATCTCACTAAATCTCACGAGGCAGGAGACACATCCTTCGCCAGATAGTAATCTCGCTAAATCTCAGGAGGCAGGAGACACACCCTTAGCCAGATAGTAATCTCACTAAATCTCACGAGGCAGGAGACACATCCTTAGCCAGATAGTAATCTCACTAAATCTCACGAGGCAGGAGACACATCCTTAGCCAGATAGTAATCTCACTAAATCTCAGGAGGCAGGAGACACACCCTTAGCCAGATAGTAATCTCACTAAATCTCACGAGGCAGGAGACACATCCTTAGCCAGATAGTAATCTCACTAAATCTCACGAGGCAGGAGACACACCCATGGAAAACACCCTGCCGTTCTGTAGTAACCGAATCAAAAGCCATTTAAATTAGATGACGAATTTAGTTATACCCTTATTCTTCACAGTTAGCCAATCAAAAATGATTTAAATTCAGTGACGCATTATGGTACTTAGTACAGTTAACTCATTCAACTCTTAATAAGGTGTCAACAGATTCATTTATATACGATTACGTGGGAGACACTGAGTGTTCCGCTTGGATAAGAATGAAACCACACACAAACAGATTGGATCTCAACAGAGAAACGTATATATTTGATTAACACAGTGTTCCACATCACAGAGCTCTAATATTCTTCACTGAGCGGTATATTCCAGTTCATTTGTAGGATAATAGAATATTGTTAAATGAATATGTCACACAACACGGTGCAGTTTGAAAGTTCCAAGTGGATGTTGAATATTTTCCTGAAGATATAAAACACTGAAGCCTTGATACTGAGCAGGTATTTAGAATACTTAGTATTGTATATTCGGTAAAACCTAACGCCAAACAATTTATATTAGTTCGTACCGAATATTGGGTGGCGGATATATTCGATATTGAACCAGGTAATCACAGCATACTTAAAAAGATCCAAAGGATCGAGGGTACTACAATACCTTTATAAACCCCTCCGGGATAGAATAAGATTCTGATAATCCCGGCTCCCGCTAAATACATTCTGATAATCCCGGCTCCCGCTGTTAGTTTTTTCCCGCTGAATAAATAACCCCGGCACAGCTTTTATAATCCCGCCCCGCTAATTTGGCTCAACAAGATTTGTTTTGTTTTGATATTCCATGAGAATTTCAACCGCGTACTGTCACGTGTTTTGATGACGTGTATCACGTGACTAACTACTACGACGCGCATTGGTAAAAAATGTCACGTGACCTATGGCTTAACGTAAGAACTATAAATACACTCGATCTACGTATCGGTCTAATTGCAGGCGCTGGCAAAACTCCAGCACACTACATTACTTAAACTCTTACATTAATTGGACCAGTTCCAAAACTTGTCTCGACGGTTACATTTGATTTTGTCCGGTTCGGTTAATTTTGTCGAGTTTGATATAAGCCATGTATTATAGTCGTCTACTTTGATGAACTTCATGACACGATATCATTATTAGCTTTTATCGCTTGCCAGGCTTAAGTTTAACTCGACGCCCCTTATCGATATTCATATTCATTCAACGTTCTGACTGAGGAATAGTGTTTAGATATAACGCCAATTCCAAAAGTCATAGTACCTTAGTTGTATTTATTTGGAAGTCCCCAATTCCATTTCATATTTTCCATAATGATCTCATATAGCTAGAATTAAGAGTAAAATGTCAAATTTGTTGGTCCTAGCACTAACCCGGAGGGGTTTATAACACATAACACCGGCACGCTTAAGTTATATTAAAATAACCCCTCGTGCTAAAGCACGTCGGGGTTATTTTCATAATAATCCCTCGTGCTTCGCACTCGAAATTATTATAAATTTTTCCCGCGCGTCGCGGGAAAAATTGAAATATAATCCCTGCGCATGCCGGGGTTATGTGTGTTATAAACCCCTCCGGGTTAGAATAAGATTCTGATAATCCCGGCTCCCGTTAGATACATTCTGATAATCCCGGCTCCCGCTGTTAGTTTTTTCCCGCTGAATAAATAACCCCGGCACAGCTTCTATAATCCCGCCCCGCTAATTTGGCTCAGCAAGATTTGTTTTGTTTTGATATTCCATGAGAATTTCAACCGCGCACTGTCACGTGTTTTGATGACGTGTATCACGTGACTAACTACTACGACGCGCATTGGTAAAAAATGTCACGTGACCTATGGCTTAACGTAAGAACTATAAATACACTTGATCTACGTATCGGTCTAACTGCAGGCGCTGGCAAAACTCCAGCACACTGCGTACATTACTTAAACTCTTACACTACTTGGACCAGTTCCAGAACTTGTCTCGACGGTTACATTTGTCCGGTTAATTTTGTCGTAGCAATTGCCCTGTTTGATATAAGCCATGTATTATAGTCGTCTACTTTGATGAACTTCATGACACGATATCATTATTAGCTCCACCTTTTATCGCTTGCCAGGCTTAACTCGACGCCCCTGATTGATATTCATTCAACGTTCTGACTGAGGAATAATGTTTAGATATAACGCCAATTTCAAATGTCATAGTACCTTAGTTGTATTAATTTGGTAGTATAATATACTCCCCAATTCCATTTCATATTTTCCATACTGATCTCATATAGCTAGAATTATGAAATTTGTTGGTCCTAGCACTAACCCGGAGGGGTTTATAACACATAACACCGGCACGCTTAAGTTATATTAAAATAACCCCTCGTGCTAAAGCACGTCGGGGTTATTTTCATAATAATCCCTCGTGCTTCGCACTCGAAATTATTATAAATTTTTCCCGCGCGTCGCGGGAAAAATTGAAATATAATCCCTGCGCATGCCGGGGTTATGTGTGTTATACATGCTATCAATAGTGAATAGTCAACTATGTAATATAGTATAGTGACTTGACTGGCTGAATAAGTGTGCTTAATATTCAATGTTGGCACTCAGTGTTTACTAGAACCTGCAACGAGTGTTGTTTAAGAGATGAGCTGTACATGATATTAACCATGAAATTAACTGAAACCAGCATGCTGGGCCGTATCAAACGTTACAATTTACAAACCACACAATGGCTTGTGCAATATAAGGAGCTGCGGGTGGATATTGCAGGATACACATTGTTACTGACTACTGAGTACTGTGATTAATGACTAGATTAATAACCGCCCTTGTAGTCGGTGTGTTTCATAACAACGTTATGACTCTTAAACTTCTGCCATTAAACTTAACTTTTAAGAAATAACAAATTGACCAGTGATAATTTGTGAATAGAAAAATGTGAGAAACAGAAACTAATAAAAAACGCCAGGATTACAGGACTTAAAATGGGCGTTTGCGTTGGTGACATAACATTAATTAGCTTAAAATACTACTTGTGAAATCGCTTGAGACTATTTTGTGCTTAAATTACCACATCCTTTAATATGCCAATACTATTCCTATAAGGTGATCTTGCAACAGTTTGTATAAAACGTCAATGGTTGATGTCGTTAAAACAATACGTTTAAATTTTAAAACTCACGTGGCACTATTTTGTTCTTGACTAGGTACATCATAGTCTCCCGATGTCTGGTTTCCCTGACAACCACTTGAGTCTGAAAATGAAAGATTTTCTGCAGAGAGCTCATCACTTGCTGCTGATTGGTCACTAATAAGTGAAGTTCCATCGCCGACATCTCCCTGCAATGAAAAAGTAAATAGTATTCCAAAGATAGGGTTTGACAAGATATTTGTTTCTAAAAAACCTCATGTCAAAAAAATACCACCAATTAATCAAAACAAAATATTACACATCTGCATGAGCTTACCTGAGTTTTATTTGACTTTTTGGAGAAAAATCCCTTGTTCTGTTGTAGGTGCAACATCTGAGACTCAATGTTTTCTGTCACGTCGTCTGTCTTTCTACCCTGAGCAATTTTGGGGATTACATGAACTGCTTTGTCAGTATGAACTGAGGGGGTCATCTGATGATCACCCCACAGTAAAAGAATCGAATCATAGAATTTAGAATGTCAACAAGTGGACAAAATAACAATCAATCGAGATGAGCTGATGAGATAAACTGCTCTCGAAAATTCAGGCTTCGAAAATACACTGTTAAAAATCACTTACTTCCTCAGATCTAGAAGAATTCAGAGCATCCAAATCGTCTGTAGAAGTGTTAACACTAAAAGACTCTGATAATACTTCATCCATCGAGGAAATTGATAGTTTAGGGTTTGAGCCATCCCATCGAGTTGGGCTCCTCGCATAACTACTGAGCCTTTTGAAAAACCGTAGATCAATGGTAGAGAACTTTTTGCCTTTCATATTGGATAACAAAGATGTAGAGCTATTCCCAATGCGAGATATGTCTTCCAATGAGCAGGAAACTGGTCTCTTACTTAGTTTTGGAGAAGTTCCGGCCAGCTTGCTGACAAAAGAACTTGTTGATGAGCGGATTATCTGCTTATCAGTACTAGAATCACTCTGTGAAAGTTGTCTCACTGGTGCAACAGGTAGATTACGCTTAGGTGAATTTTGCTTCATTGAATGAAATGAGCGGTGTTTCCGATCCTCATCTTCTTTCTGGATTTCCTGTTCATTTTTCTTCTGATTTTCTCTTTCTTTAAAAAGCCAACTGAGTTGAACCTCTAGTTTTGCAAGCTCTTGCTTATGATCATCGATTTGGTCTTTAGTTTCTTTGATAAGTTTTTCCAATTCTTCAGTTCCTTTCCATGATTTATTCATTGCACTATATAGTATCAGTAATTTATCAATCATAAATATCATAATGGTGGAATGGTGTCTATGGCGAAATCCAGGGATCAATTTCCAGTTGGGGTCGATTTATTTGGATAAAAGTATGCTACTAAGCCCTGAGTCCTGTACTGTACAATTGATAGCTACATTAAAGCTATATTAAATTACTTCAAATCGTTCACAAAGCAAGCCTTGATCAACTGCAACTTTCAACTTTCAGATACAAGTCTTCTAAGGCTTATGCTGCCAAATGGCCTGGCGATCATTACTTCGTAGTGCTGCAACAAAATTTCACACTCTGATTACAGGGTACAATTTTGAAGCAATGTAAAAATATAAGAATGCTAATCCAATGCCCTACTCTTTTGCCACTGTACCATTCATACTACAGTAATATTACCCGGATTTATCGCGTAGTAAATCAGGCTTTGTGGTAAATTGGGCCCGGTAAATGGTAGGATTACTATACTAAGCATAATAAAAAGATAGTATAGAATAGTACACTGATTAGTGTTTACAGTACACTACAGCATAGATGTTATGAATTGGTACCCTAAGTAAATAATTGATCTTTTGGCGGTGACTCTCCTCATTTAACACTCGATCAAGCTGAGTCAACAGAGGAGTTATTTTACACAGATGTGTAATTTCGCATAGATCCAATGGAACCCTTAGCTAACTCCCTAGACTAGTAGGTGACTATAAGTGACACAGGGATTCGAACCCAGATTCTCTGCTCGAAAGGCAGACACTCTCAGCCACCTTACTAACTCGGCCTGCAGTAGCTTAACTTATCAGATCAAACTAGATCGAGTATATAATATAATAATATACAATATTCAGCTGAGTATAAATGCAAGTGTTAACACATTTTAGGTGTCCAAAAGAATCGTACTTATATTCAAAATCAGCATAGTGCTTTATATTTAGAGCCTAGTGCCTTAGTATGTAGTGGGGTTAGGGATATGATTGTTGTAGGAAATAAAAAGTGTTCATGAAATTAACATTACATAATATGCAGTGGTTCGGAATGAAAAACAAGTAAAACTTTAATTACTGGGCCGCGCTCAGCCTGTCATTCCGCCTAATCTCTATTCGGTTGTTTATGAACATAATAGCCTAGCCTGAGGTCCCCAGGTAAAACTTTAAGTGACCAAATTATAGAACAACATTATTATTTTATTATTGCTTATAAGCACTGCCATGTTCTGATCTATGTTGACACACGCTGTAACCCCTTTTGAGCGCGCGCGAAGCGCGCGCGGCCGGCCGGCGTGCACGCTTCGCGTGCACGAGAGGTATACAACGTGTAGCAATATCTATGCTTAGTGCTATCATGTCATTAACATTGTTAAAATGATGAGTATAAATGATAAAAGATTAAAATTCAATACATTTGATTGGAGGACGTCGTCACTTCGTCCACCGCGCATATTACAATTATCATGCTTGCTCCGCTTCGAGAGCGTTGCTAGCTATGCTATGCATAGCTATGATTGGCTAAAAATTGTATAATATACGAAGACGCGCGCCGAGTTGGACTGATCGTCTACAGTCTTGGTCTAATTTAATTGAAGATGTCAATTCATCTCAGCTCGGCGCGGCACAGTAGTTGCTCTATCCAGAGCCCTTGCGCTTGCAGTAGCGCGCGCAGTGGCGCGAAAGCACATGGTTAGGTGAAGCACAGTAGCGCATCTCGCCGATCTTGAGAAGCCTCATTGAGTGCGCGGCGCGGCACAGTAACGCATCGCGCTACAAGGTCTATAATATTTGGAACAAATATTTTACTTAATTGACGATGTCAATTCATGGCAGCTCGGCGCGGCACAGTAGCGCATCTCGCCGATCTAGCCAGAGAAGCCTTATTAAGTGCGCGGCGCGGCACAGTAACGCATCGCGCTACAAATATTTTACAAGTATCCCCGTGGCCGTTAACACTTAAAAGTTTGCAAAATTCATGCTATTTAATAAATTGTGTTCACCTAACCATGTGCTTTCGCGCCACTGCGGGCGCGCTTGTTTCGCAACGGGCGCGCGCCACTGCAAGCGCAAGGGCTCTGGATAGAACAATAAATTGTGTATTGGTTATTTGGCACGCCAATCCCAATGCAAATGCCCGGCGCTCTTTTCGTGAGTGGTGAGAGGAGCGAGCGCAGCAATGTCACATTACCATGAGTCTTTGCGTACGCGTACTACGTGACAGTACGCGCTACTGCAAGCTCGCGAGGGCTCTGGTTGGAGCAATTAACAAGCAATATACTAGCAAAATAGCTTTTGTATTACTTAAATTTATCGATTTTATATTTGATTCACGATGTCAATCCTTCGCATCTCGCCGATCTGTGGTTGCGAGAAGCATTATTTGATGCGCGCGCGACCCAGTAGTGCATCGCGCTACAAATTTTATATGTATTTAATTTTTGTAAGTTTCGTTTATGACGTATAGGTCTATAATTTATAAAGTGCAATCGGCACAACCGATTACAAACTATAATTTACTGAACTGGGCCGTGCCGCGTATTAAATAATGCGCCTCATATTTTGGGACTAGCATTGTAGACCCTATTATATATTATATTAAACCTTATTATATTATTAGCTTGACCATTGTTAATGATTTGGCCCGGCGCGCGCTACTTCGTAGCACTTGCCATCGGGCAGAAAGCGGCGCGCGCTACTTCGAAGAAATTTAGACGAGTAACATCCGTCAAATTATTAGCACCATGCCTACAAAATTGCTTGCATGATTCAAGGTCAATTTGTCATTTTATATGGGACATGAATAAAAGTAAAAGTTACTGGGCGGCGCTCAACCTGTCTGCTGTCATTCCGCCAAATCTTGAATCTCTATTCGGATTATATGACCCGGATTATATGATTATGATGTATGAACATAAATATAATAGCCTTGGGCCCCCATGTAAAAGTCAAAGTTAAAGTACAAGTATATTGGCCTTTCATATAATTTCGGTAGCAATGAGCTATTTCCATTATTTGTCTGCTGTGGCCTGCCGATCGACTAATTGAATGTACTGTTTTCTATTTCATATTGTGCTAAAAGTATGACCGCACGCTCGACACTGACGTCTCAAAAACACAATTTGTATATTAACAAAATTGTTTGTGTCATCCACATAATTAACTAAAAGCATAGTATACCTTTGTATATATATTGTCTATCTATGTATTTCTGAATTCACCACTTTTACATCTTTTGCATCGAGAATATAATACACTTATACTTGTGACAGTCAATTTTTAATTGTTATATGACACACACACATTACAAAATTATCATGGGATAAGGTCCTTACTCCTAATCTTCTGTTGTCACTTTGCTGTTTGTTATAACGCAGTGTTTGCTTGAGTCAGACCGTATGAACCCTTCCATTTCTGTAACCAATTTGCTGTGTATCAATTGTACTTATCTAGTCCTGTAAGGAGCAACTTTTTCAGTACATTCTGAACCTCATTCAAGTTTGTCATCACCACCTTGATTGACCATATTTTGTTAGTCTCTTTAACCAGTTCTCGAGTTCCTTTGGGGCATTGCACAGTTATCCAAGTTTGTAGTAAAGTTCAAAACATATGCTGAGCAAGTCTGTCATGATCTGCACTCTCATTAGCTTCATGCACACTGTAAAGTGTAAATTATGAAGTTTTTGGATTGTTCATCCTCTGCATTAGCTGCTTTCACTGCTTCTTCCACAACATTTAAAATAGTTTTTTACCCTGATCATTGTTCTTATTAATCACTTCTGCCCAGCTTTTTATTTCTGACTTGTTAGTATTTTCTACTAAGTCCAATCCGTCTTGTTTCATCTTTATGATTTTTTGTTGACTGTCGAGTTGCTCCATTTTCAGCTGATCAACTTTGTTTGTTTGTTTGTTTGTTTATAGAACCCGTCCCCAATCTCGTATCGGAAATTGACTAAACTCAGGTCTGAGTGTGAATACGGGTGGTACCTGCAAGAGTGTTCATTAAGCATTTAGAGTTCTGTAAAACTGCAGTTACAATTGTGCTAGAGTATTTTTAGTATATACGATTGGTATCGTATATATATCAGATATATATCCCTACATGCTTCCAAAATTTGTAAAGCCGTAGTACATACATATCACACTACACCGGAGCCTACACAGTGCAATCTCCTCCAGTCGATCTGCGCCGCGTATGTTTATATAAGCGCGCGGCGTAGACTGGAGGAAACCACACTCTGCAAGTTCGATCCAGTGCAATGTTACATGTACGTACTACGGCTTCATCTCCAACTTTCTGCACAATGTACTGGAATGTTTTGAAGGAAAAGAAAGAACAAAAAAAAGTGATATATATATAAATAAAATCAGCGATTTAATGTTAGCCTTAGGAGGGTAACTTTAATTCCCTGGTTTCTAAAATCAGCTTTAAAAAAAAAATAATAAAGTATGTAACGTCGATACCAAACCGATTATTGAGCGATAATAACTGAGTAGTTGATTCCTGGGGTGCGGAGTCATTCAGATGTTCCAGTTTTCGAATGTGGTTCTTGTTCAGTTCTTGACCAAAAGTGTCTAATGAAGTAAGTCAGACAAGCAAACTCTTCCTTAAATGCTGATATAAGTCGTCTCAATCCCAGAAATTATGAATGATGACCCAGTGTAAAAGTGCAGAAATCGGCCGAAAATAACAAATACTAAAAACAGTTAAAAAGTGACAGGATTCAAACACAAGGAAAATTAAAAACTTAGAGCGTAATAAGGAATATCTCCAAACGGAGTTTTCTGAGAGGGTGAGAGGTTCTTTAATTAGAGCTAATGATTAAATGAGACACACTAAAGGTACTAAATTAACCGGACTGCTAGCAAGGAATCGAGAATAACTGTAGATTGGAATAAAAATAAAAGCGGAATAAATTTTAAGATAATGAAACAGAAACTGAAAGCTAAAATATATACCGTTCTAGAATGCCTCCGCAAACTATTGCTCCTTTGTAATGCACGTGTTAGTAAGTGTAGTAAAAAGATAAAAATAATAAAGCTATAAAAATGAACGGAGCGGTGAAAATCTGAGAGGGTGAGAGGTTCTTTAATTAGAGCTAATGATTAAATGAGACACACTAAAGGTACTAAATTAACCGGACTGCTAGCAAGGAATCGAGAATAACTGTAGATTGGAATAAAAATAAAAGCGGAATAAATTTTAAGATAATGAAACAGAAACTGAAAGCTAAAATATATACCGTTCTAGAATGCCTCCGCAAACTATTGCTCCTTTGTAATGCACGTGTTAGTAAGTGTAGTAAAAAGATAAAAATAATAAAGCTATAAAAATGAACGGAGCGGTGAAAATCTGAGAGGGTGAGAGGTTCTTTAATTAGAGCTAATGATTAAATGAGACACACTAAAGGTACTAAATTAACCGGACTGCTAGCAAGGAATCGAGAATAACTGTAGATTGGAATAAAAATAAAAGCGGAATAAATCTTAAGATAATGAAACAGAAACTGAAAGCTAAAATATATACCGTTCTAGAATGCCTCCGCAAACTATTGCTCCTTTGTAATGCACGTGTTAGTAAGTGTAGTAAAAAGATAAAAATAATAAAGCTATAAAAATGAACGGAGCGGTGAAAATCTGAGAGGGTGAGAGGTTCTTTAATTAGAGCTAATGATTAAATGAGACACACTAAAGGTACTAAATTAACCGGACTGCTAGCAAGGAATCGAGAATAACTGTAGATTGGAATAAAAATAAAAGCGGAATAAATTTTAAGATAATGAAACAGAAACTGAAAGCTAAAATATATACCGTTCTAGAATGCCTCCGCAAACTATTGCTCCTTTGTAATGCACGTGTTAGTAAGTGTAGTAAAAAGATAAAAATAATAAAGCTATAAAAATGAACGGAGCGGTGAAAATCTGAGAGGGTGAGAGGTTCTTTAATTAGAGCTAATGATTAAATGAGACACACTAAAGGTACTAAATTAACCGGACTGCTAGCAAGGAATCGAGAATAACTGTAGATTGGAATAAAAATAAAAGCGGAATAAATTTTAAGATAATGAAACAGAAACTGAAAGCTAAAATATATACCGTTCTAGAATGCCTCCGCAAACTATTGCTCCTTTGTAATGCACGTGTTAGTAAGTGTAGTAAAAAGATAAAAATAATAAAGCTATAAAAATGAACGGAGCGGTGAAAATCTGAGAGGGTGAGAGGTTCTTTAATTAGAGCTAATGATTAAATGAGACACACTAAAGGTACTAAATTAACCGGACTGCTAGCAAGGAATCGAGAATAACTGTAGATTGGAATAAAAATAAAAGCGGAATAAATTTTAAGATAATGAAACAGAAACTGAAAGCTAAAATATATACCGTTCTAGAATGCCTCCGCAAACTATTGCTCCTTTGTAATGCACGTGTTAGTAAGTGTAGTAAAAAGATAAAAATAATAAAGCTATAAAAATGAACGGAGCGGTGAAAATCTGAGAGGGTGAGAGGTTCTTTAATTAGAGCTAATGATTAAATGAGACACACTAAAGGTACTAAATTAACCGGACTGCTAGCAAGGAATCGAGAATAACTGTAGATTGGAATAAAAATAAAAGCGGAATAAATTTTAAGATAATGAAACAGAAACTGAAAGCTAAAATATATACCGTTCTAGAATGCCTCCGCAAACTATTGCTCCTTTGTAATGCACGTGTTAGTAAGTGTAGTAAAAAGATAAAAATAATAAAGCTATAAAAATGAACGGAGCGGTGAAAATCTGAGAGGGTGAGAGGTTCTTTAATTAGAGCTAATGATTAAATGAGACACACTAAAGGTACTAAATTAACCGGACTGCTAGCAAGGAATCGAGAATAACTGTAGATTGGAATAAAAATAAAAGCGGAATAAATTTTAAGATAATGAAACAGAAACTGAAAGCTAAAATATATACCGTTCTAGAATGCCTCCGCAAACTATTGCTCCTTTGTAATGCACGTGTTAGTAAGTGTAGTAAAAAGATAAAAATAATAAAGCTATAAAAATGAACGGAGCGGTGAAAATCTGAGAGGGTGAGAGGTTCTTTAATTAGAGCTAATGATTAAATGAGACACACTAAAGGTACTAAATTAACCGGACTGCTAGCAAGGAATCGAGAATAACTGTAGATTGGAATAAAAATAAAAGCGGAATAAATTTTAAGATCGCTGATCAACTTTAGGTATAGATTGTTCACAAAAAGTTAAAACAGAATCTCAACCAGAGTTGCCAGTCGATCTTCGTTCAACTCCATCAAAGCACTGTAGTTTAGTTCTGATGGGTCTGATATCTTGACCGACTGTACAGAATAATTCGTAACATGATATTTAAACATACACTCCAATTACTTTTTAAATAGTAGTGTTGAAAATATTACAACTGAATGATGATTAAAATGAATTTGCTATTAAGATATGCAATAGATTCTGTTTTTGATCTCCTAATTAAACAAGGTAGGAAGGAAGAATCAAGATGCCTGTTGTACAAGATCCAGTTCTTCGAGAAGCCGGAATAAAGGCTGGTATCATGATTTGGAGAGTAGAGGTTTGAATTTAATTTCATCAACTTTACATTTGATCATTAATTAATCTTATAATTCTTACTATTCATTAATCTATTATCTATTAATCTACTGATATAATTGATGATGCCCATGTCCTTGGTCATGAGCAAAATGTAAATGAAAACTCTTGTCCAGTGCTACGATTATGCATTTTATACACTTGCACAGAATATAATACATATATTCATCAGAACTTACAGCTAGCCCCAGCTCAGCAGGAAGCCTATGGTGGTGTATTTTACAAAGGGGATTCCTACCTCATTTTAAAGGTGAGCAATTTCTCATTAATATTCATAGACTTCAAGTTTATGCTTTCGTGTGAAGAAAAAGATAATTTATGCTCGCAAGTCACAGTTAAAGTTTTAAATTATCGAACATTCAAAGTTTTAAGCAAAAGAGAGACTTAAGAATAACATGTATAAATTGTATAATGATGTATATTTAACTATATTAATTCTGTATTCTAAGAGATTACCAGAATTTTGACGTTAATTAAACCGTTATTACCAGACTGTCAAGCAGCCTCGCACAAAGTACGACATACACTTCTGGCTTGGATCACAAACTTCTAATGTAAGTGAAAAAGCATAACTTCAACATATTTCTAATAAAATTTACCGAGTTAACGAACACCGATATTTGGTTTAAACTTTCACTACAGATTCTGATGATTACACGTCTTATCGGTCAGGTTCGCCTCAGAATATCTACAAAATCGTTGTTCTAACACCTTCTAAAATATCTGGGTAACATGTTTGCATGACAAATAAAATGTAAAACTTTCTCATAAATGTAAATTATGATGCTCCTCACTTTTGAGCCCCCTTCTCACTGTTCGTTGTGACGTATGTGAATTGTGACTGTACTACTCATCCAGATTTCACTGACTATTTGACTAGTTTACCTATCGAAAAATTATGTTTTTAAGTGTTTGATGCATCGGAACACAGAGCAGATCGAATTGATTATCTGAACGAATATTTGCTAACCACCGGCATCTTTATTTGTGGTGTAAAATGTTGGATGCTTTATCGATCATATTTAAACATTCCTCGCGTATTTGTGTTGGACTATCTTTCTCTGAAGGCCAGATGTAACCGTACCCGACCTACAGGATGAGGCAGGTATAGCAGCTATCAAAGCAGTAGAGTTGGACGACATGTTAGGAGGAGCTCCTGTTCAACATAGGGAGGTTCAGGGCAACGAGTCCGCTAACTTCCGCGCTTATTTCAAAACTCTCAGGTGTGGCTTTTGTTTAAATGGTGACCAGCCGATTTCATTAGTTAATTATTTAATAGTATAAGTACCATATTGTTTGTTATCAGATTCACGGTATTTATCAGAGATCCTCAATCCTCATACACCTCCTTACACCATCAGGTACAAAGACGGTGGAGTTGGGTCCGGCTTCAAGAAAGTGACGGACGTCTTCAAAAACAGACTTTACCAGGTACAGCTCACACTAGAATAATAGATTTTTGGGGGGCATCTCAAATTCCCAGCATGATAATACTCGTGAATTTGCCAGTGCCTCATTTTGACTTCTCGCTGTAAGTTGCCAATGTTTTAATAAAATGCCCAGGTAAAAGGAAGGCGCAGAGTCCGAGTTACGGAGGTGCCCTGTTTGATAGATAGTGTTAACAGTGGCGATGTCTTTATCCTGGACACTAAACAGATTGTATATCTCTTTTACGGAAGCGAGAGCAACAAGATTGAGAGACAGAAGGTGAGGATATTATCTTTTAGATTTTTAACTTGGCTACAAAACGAGCTCTATGAACTGATTTAATTTTGTGTGAGTAATATGAACATGTTTATCCAATATCCATGTATGAACTTACACTATAACATTTCGTGGCCGTGTGCTTATGCAGTGATATGTAAACTACATACAATTATTGATACGTAAAACAAACTACAGATATTATGTTTTCGAGCAGTTACTAGTAATATTTGTATCAGGGAATTGAAGTAGCTAACCAAATAAGGGACGTGGAACACCAGGGAACATCACAAGTCTTTGTTCTGGGTGAGTTTTGAAACTTCTTGAGACCTGAATATTTGATTGATATCATATCATTACCGTACTTAATATTCATACCGGCTGAGATGATTTCCCCCAGATCCTGGTAAATAACCTCACATGTATTGGGAGTAATGAATGTGAACTAAGTTAGGCCCAAAAGTTAAAACTGAGAAGTTAGGGTATTTTAGCTAGATGTATGATTGTGGAGAGGCTCGAAGTAATGTAAAAAAGCGACAAATCTGGAGCCATTCACTGCGCTTGCTGAAGCCCAGTGGATAAATGATAATATACATCACTCATGCGTCATTATTCAAAACTAGTTCTATATGCTTATATGTTATAATTATGTTTTTATGGATACATATGACCTTTGTTATTTTTTAGTGCTTGCTTTTTATAAGCGGATTTCATAAATTTTGAAAACCCCGTACGGCAAAAATCTATTTATTTGTGGATGTTATCTAAAAAGCTAAAAGCATTATATCCTTGTCAAATGTCCGATCAACTGATTACTGAACACGATAAGATCCTTACATCAAGTTAATCATGACCGTCTGAATACAGTTATTTAAATAACGTTATATTAATGCTTTTCATACAAAGTTATGTAACAAAGTCTTCATTTTATGTATAATATATAAGTATGTTAATTAAAAAAACATATCTCAACTTCAGATCAGAACGATAAGACGGTGCTTAGAGCAGAAGGCAGGAAGTTCTTCACAGTGCTGGGAGCGAACCCTGAGTACATAAACCACATAAAGTCAGCCACTGAGGGGGGACAAGACTCTCTGGTTGCTCAGAGCACCTTTATGAACCTCATCAGGTGAAGATATTTTGTAACTCGTCAGGTTTACATGCTTTTCGTGCGTTGTAACAGAGTAAGGTATGTGAAAATAACAAACGCTTATATTCACATACCTTACTTTGTAATAGATTATATTATATACAATGTATATGATTATATATTCGCATACCTTTTATTTTACCCGTCTCTTCAATATTAAATCTCTGATCCTTTCTAATGATGGGTTGGCGCAAACATGCGATCTCAACGTTTTAAGATACCCGGACAAAATATCTGTCGTTCGACTCCACTAAGATATCAGCGCAAGTTCGAATCCATTTCTCCATTCTGTGGTCGTTAGATAAATTTGATCACTGAAATAACTGCTATATTATCTCTCGCTTTAAAAGTTGTACTTATTTTGCGATCTCTGTAACAAAAAGCCGGCCCTGGATTTAGCTTTGTTCTGCCGCTGTTCCTCAACTACATTATACATTCTTTACATCTCCAGATAGTAGTCATTACCCCTCATGCAGGCCCTGACAGGGTTATTGTCTTGCTGCTAAAGACTAACTGTTAGAAGGGGCCCCCTTTAAAAATTCATATATAATTAACATTTCATCGGTGATTCACCGGTTGTAAACCGGCCCAACGTATCTTCACCTCTTAAGATGTGTCACGTGTCACGATTGCCATCTAGCTAGATATAAAGATGTAGGATATAATACAGATATAAAGATAAAGGTGCAGCTGAGATAAATGTTTTAGGCAGCTGCTTACCAAGTTACATCGAATCTCCACCAAAGCTATCTAGATTCTAGATGTTTCAACTTCAAGTGATCTAAGTGTCCATTAATTATGTAACGACTACCCACCCCAGACAGACAAATGACAACTCTACTACTCTACTTATAATACAACTACTATACCCCCATTTAATCACGTGTTTGATCACGTGAGTTTGATTTATTAACCACTCCTCCTCTCTCAGAGTATCCGACGCAAGTGGGAGGATGCTGATGGAGCTAGCTGGCAGAGCCCCCCTAAATCAGGACATGTTAGTGGATCAGGACAGCTATATCCTGGACCATGGTGGCAACAAGATCTTCGTGTGGCACGGCAAGGGCAGCACTCGGGAGGAGAGGAAATCTAGCATGATCTACGCCTCGGTTAGAACAGCTCTCAAGATTACATCAACGCTTATGAAATATTGTACTCGTGCCAGAACGTTTAGTCTCATGAATATTACATGGTCCCTGTTGGACAGCTTAGTTAGCACCAATGTTATAGTAGAGAGCCGGTTCCACACAGGACTATTATAATACCTGACCTCGTTATCACAGCACGTCCCTCCTTATCACATTAATATCCGGGACAGATAGTTCGTGAGCGTCGTGGCCAGTACAAGAGTCTTAGAGTCCACTATAAGAGATTCCAGATATATTCGGGTATATACTATATAGCTTTGTAACAGGGCTGCATGGTGCATTCAATGTGTGAGAGAGAGAGAGAGAGAGGGGGGATGCATGTAGAATTTGTAGATTGTTGAGTGGGCTGCAAGAAGAGAGCAGAGAGTGTACTGTGTAATGGCCGGTGAAATGTAGATTGGTCCCGGTGCAGGAATGTGGTCATTGTTCTTGGACCAGTGGATGGTGTTGGTATGTGGCCCTATTCTTGTAAAGGCCCCTCTGTGGTTCGTCTCCTGGTCTCCGGTAGCTGGAGTAGACGACGATCAGATGTAACGTTAACAATACAGTAAAAATCCATAATCAGCAGATCTGGAAACTGGAGAACCATTTTCCCTGACACATGACAAAGATTCCCAAGATTAGTCAATTAGCTTTAAAACTTGACCAATCAACACCCAGAGTTGCTGTTGTCACGTGTCACCCCCACTACTCAGCTTGGTATAGATCCATTATATAGCGCTTAGTATCAAAATGTGTGAGTTACAGGAAGTTTGCTAATAGCACTGTTAACTTCAGAAAACAGAAGTAGATGCGAAATAATGTGCAATAAATAGATATCTACATACGTTCGCAAAAGCAATAATAACTTCAATGCCTGATATATTTAGAAAAAACTCAACAAACTCGCTAAACAGTTGGATCAATATTTACCCCGGTTTAATCGTATCTTCTTACTCAGGAGTACATGATAGAGAAAGGTTACCCAGCAGACACCATGGTGACATCTTGTTACCAGTACGCTGAACCAGTCGAGTTTAGACAGTGTTTCCTAGGTATTTGGAAGGAGAGAGTATTTGCCAACCATGAGACTGGACCTGAAAAGAGGTTAGTTTTGTGTTAGAGAAGAAAAGTTATTTTCTTTGGGATATTTTAACATAGATTGTAAGCACCAGCTGACACAATATTCAGACAGTCGCTTAATCTTATGAATAAACATTAAACATTTAGAGCAATGATAAATCTTAGATTATATTTCTCAGTCTAGGCTTGACACTCGATTGTCGAAATAATATCACTAAGTACAGTTTTAAATTGCTTCTTTGTGGCCAGAGCCATAGTTCCAAAACAAATATCAACTGCTGCCTGGAATGTCTATATTCTTTGAAGGTGTAACACTAAGAATTATGTCTACAGTCATATTATTCGCATGATGGAATGATTAAATGGGCACTATCCGTCGCGGAGTCGAGTCCGCGGCGGAGCCGCCGGACTTCGAGCGGACTCCGAGCGGACTCCGGCGGAGCCGCCGGACTCCGAGCGGACTCCGGCGGTGCTCCGCCAAAATGTATTTACAGTGGACTCGAGTACATTTTGGCGGACTCCGAGCGGAGCCGAGCGGACTCCGAGCGGACTTTAAAGTCCGCCGCGGACTCCGAGCGGCTCCGCGGCGGCTCGGCGGAGTGTCTGCCGCGGACTAAGCCACTAGGCGGACTCCGGTCCGCCGCGGACTCCGGCGGAGTGCTTGGCGGACTCCGCCGGACCTCTCCGCCAGACTTGAATCCGGCGGAGTCCGGCGGAGCTTGGCGGAGTCCGCCAGCTCGGCGGACTCCGCTCGGAGTCCGCCGGACTCCAACAGAGTCCACTGACTTCCGACCTCCGTCTTCCGACCCTCGGCTAAATTTGTCACGTGACATACAACATAGCATTTTGCAATATTGTGGTCAGATGAAAAGGTCGCTAGTGATAAACCTTAACCATTACCCTCACAATGTCAATAGTGTACAACTTTGATTGACGATGTCAATCCGTCGAGATCGTTGCTCTGCGAAGCAGAGCAACGATCGTCGATGCAAGAATGCTAGTTCGCGCGGCGCGTCGAAGCGGCGAAGTCCTCCAATGTACAACTCTAGTCCTAACTTTGACCCTATAATGTATAAACGTTGACCCTAACCCTCCACCAAACCGTCCGCAGCGAAATATCAATGTCATTGACTGGTCACGTGACCAAAACAATTTTTGTCATATTATCTCATATGGGGAAGCGTTTTTAGCAAGCAAAAATACGTCGACCATCACAGGACGACGCCAGCCAACACTCTCTACGCTCTTCGAGCTCCGATCGTCCTGTGACGAAGTAAGGACGAAGCCTGAGGTCCTCAGGTAACATCGACCACCGATTGAAAATTCAAAGATTTTTTGACATAAAGGTCAAATGTAAAACTAAAATCTTGATGCTGATTGATTGACGACGTCAATTTTTGAGCACATTGCGAGCGCATGCGGAAAAGGACCGCGTAGCTAGTCAAGATGTTGATAAATATTTGGCCTGTGGCGCGATGTGTTGCTCTAACTATAGCCCTCTCGCTTGCAGTAGCGCGCGACCGCCGGAAATGACTTGTGGAACAAGCGCGCCCGCAGCAGCGCGAAAGCACCTGGTTAGCTAAATGAACGCGATGTGCCTTGCATTGTAGGATGAAATCCTACTAGCTGACGCCACTCGCAGCTGTGATGTTCGCTGTACGTCAGCGATCGAAATTTATACGCGTATCACCCGTTAAGATGTGCCACCCGACGCACCACGCAATTTTTCTCGTTGCTCGTCGCACGTCGACGCCCTCATTAAATTTTTGGAGAAAATCGCTCGCCAAAATTTGTTGGACCAGGACGATGTCCTAGCCTGGCAGCTCATTGCGCGGCGCGTCGCAACGAGCTTCGTTGTTCTAGGTAGTGCGCCATCGACAGTGAGCCGCGCGTGCCGACTGTAGGATGGTTTTTTAGCGCTAATTTCGGCCAGCACAATTTTCTTCAAACAAATAGATATTGAGTATCCTCCCGACCTTTGATTGCAACAAAAATTGGTAAGCTTACTCATAGACTTACAAAGAGTGTGTCCGAAAAATTTAAAGCATATCCAACCATCAGATATTATGTTACAGCTAAAAGCAGCGTATTTTGCCCCATTTTGATCACTATATCAACTCCGATATCCACCAAATTTTTCGGACAGTTGTGAAAGCCCTATTGGAAGGTCGTCGCCAATTTTCAGAATGATCTCATTCAAGGAACTGAAGATATATCCAAATAATACGACGAAAATCAACGAATTTGGTCAAATTACGCGACTTTTACAGTACTTTTACAGCTACTTTTGCTCCAAAAGCCGCGCACCATCAAATATGGCACCTAGGCGAAACTCACTGATCTTTCCAAAAAGGTATGACAAATTTGGTATTGTGAAAATTCTCACAGTCTTTAGAAAACAATGATACGACAATTTTTTAAATCCGAGCAAGTTTATTTTTATCGTGCACCCCCTAGTTGTTCGTCGACGTGCGACGAGCAACGAAAAAAATTGTGTGGCGCGTCGAGTGGCACATCTTAACGGGGGATACGCGTACAAATTTCGATCGCTGACGTACAGCGAGCAGCACAGCTGCGAATGGCGTCAGCTAGTAGGATTTCATCCTACAAGGCACATCGCGTTTACCTAGCTAACCAGGTCATTTCTGCCTCCGGCGGTCGCGCGCTACTGCAAGCGAGAGGGCTGCTATAGTTAGAGCAACACATCGCGCCACAAGCCAAATATTTATCAACATCTTGACTAGCTACGCGGTCCTTTTCCGCAATATGCGCTCGCGCTGTGCTCAAAAATTGACGTCGTCAATCAATCAACATCAAGATTTTAGTTTTACATTTGACCTTTATGTCAAGAAATCTTTGAATTTTCAATCGGTGGTCGATGTTACCTGAGGACCTCAGGCTTCGTCCTTACTTCGTCACAGGACGATCGGAGCTGGCGTCGTCCTGTGATGGTCGACGTATTTTTGCTTGCTAAAAACGCTTCCCCATATGAGATAATATGACAAAAATTGTTTTGGTCACGTGACCAGTCAATGACATTGATATTTCGCTGCGGACGGTTTGATGGAGGGTTAGGGTCAACGTTTATACATTATAGGGTCAAAGTTAGGACTAGAGTTGTACACTATTGACATTGTGAGGGTAATGGTTAAGGTTTATCACTAGCGACCTTTTCATCTGACCACAATATTGCAAAATGCTATGTTGTATGTCACGTGACAAATTTAGCCGAGGGTCGGAAGACGGAGGTCGGAAGTCAGTGGACTCTGTTGGAGTCCGGCGGACTCCGAGCGGAGTCCGCCGAGCTGGCGGACTCCGCCAAGCTCCGCCGGACTCCGCCGGATTCAAGTCTGGCGGAGAGGTCCGGCGGAGTCCGCCAAGCACTCCGCCGGAGTCCGCGGCGGACCGAAGTCCGCCTAGTGGCTTAGTCCGCGGCGGACACTCCGCCGAGCCGCCGCGGAGCCGCTCGGAGTCCGCGGCGGACTTTAAAGTCCGCTCGGAGTCCGCTCGGCTCCGCTCGGAGTCCGCCAAAATGTACTCGAGTCCACTGTAAATACATTTTGGCGGAGCACCGCCGGAGTCCGCTCGGAGTCCGGCGGCTCCGCCGGAGTCCGCTCGGAGTCCGCCCGGAGTCCGGCGGCTCCGCCGCGGACTCGACTCCGCGACGGATAGTGCCATTAAATGGGATGAATCCGCAGAATCCCACGACCCACAGAGCCATAGTTTGCATAGTTTCCTAATCATATTACCTCTTATTCTATAACCTCTCCCAACAGACGAGCAGCACCGACAGTCACAGTGAACAGCCTCCACAAGAGGAGAGAGAGAAGTGAGGCTAAACGCATGTTTGATGATGGTACTGGAGAGAAACAGGTTCACATTCTTGATTATCTTACACAATGTAGTGGCTCCCACTATTGTTAAATAAATTGGATTATAAACTGCACAGTCTATCTGAATCGTTGCACGTTCTTGCTTTTGACAAAGTTCATCGCATTTCGTCATCGGTGATCTGAACAACTCCGGATATTTTATCAGTTAAATTTTTGGATGTTTATGTATTCTTTCATTTTTACATGATACCTCTCGATCGCCAGCTGGCATGTATATTATGTACGGAGTGTGGCAACTGCCCGCAGCTCTGCTAGAAACATTGTTTTAAAAGCAGCCGCGAGAATACAATATGAATATAAAGCGTTAAAATGGTTGCTAGCACTCACCATAACATAATTACGCGCGCTGCGCATTCTGATCTTAGCTTGTCTAGCGCGCACAGCTTTATTGATACCTTACAAGAAAGACATTTTTGTGGCGGACCAATTTGCGACGACCGAAATTTCGGCGGTCCGAAAATATGGCGAAATTGAACAAAAACCGTCACATTTCGGACGTCACAGAAGATAAGGGTATTTTTCATCATTTTGTTTTCTGACACAAAGCTAAAGGAAATTCAAACTTTTCTAAAAATCGGTAAAATCATGTTGAAACAAAATGAAACTTATAAATCGATTTCTTCATCTTCCTCTAAGGGGTCCGGCTCGACTCTTTCAGTTTCACTTATTGAGTTTGGTATTAAATTGTTTATCTTGACTTAGTCTCTTATAAGACGTTTATGTTAGCACATAAATGTAATTTATTGTAAATTTAAAACGTACTACTTGACATTAAATTCATCATGGAATATTGTGTTTATTTGTCCCACCATCATATCACTAACTTTTCAAGAACAAAATGAATCGATGAAGCCACAATTATTGGAATAAGCTAAAAATAATGCGACGGATTCTATTACGACGACCGAAATTTTGGCGGTCCGAAAATATGGCGAAATTTCGGGAAAACCGTCGCATTTCGTACGTTATAAAAATGTCTTGTAAGGTAGTAACCATTTACATGACTACAAAACGTAGTCATGTAAACGAACTGTCATGTACTTACCTTACTCGGGCAGTGGCGTAACTTAGGGCCCCGCAGACCCCGCTGTGCGGGGGGGCGCCGTATAAGGGGGGCGCAATTTTCCTGAATTTTAGGCCCTTTCACTGAAAAAACGCCTTGTTTGTGTATTTCCCTGTCCAATTTAGCGTTCGGCCGACGCGAAAAAAATATTTGGGGTACCCTTTTTTGCTTCAGGGGGCGCAAAAAGCTGTAGGGGGGCGAGAAAAAAAGTACCCGACCTTTTTTTTTTTTTTTTTTTTTTTTTTTAGGGACAAAAAATTTTAGGGGGGCGCTTTTCGTCACTGAGCGGGGGGGCGCCAACAAGCAAAGTTTCGCCACTGTACTCGGGATTATTATGACCGGGATAAAGTGGTGGGTTTAGGGTAATTTCGCCATATTTTTCCCGAACCACATTTTCACCGGTCGTTAATAAACCCGCCTACTCAGCTTTTAGGGTTCCCAAGGGGTATGGGTGCTCATATTTTAATCGTTGTCTCATATTCACTAAAGAAGACTATTGGGAAACTTGTTGTAGGTTTTTCGACTTCATTTGGCTAAAATTGCAAAAAATTCACCTTTTTGCCCAATTCTTGTCATATATCCTTATTGTCAAATTTGATTTAAATAGGCCAATTTTTAATTTCTTAGGTATTGACTATCTCTACATAATGAAATAGGACTCAAAGTAAAAGTAACAGTTAAATTAAAACTTGAATTAATTAAAACTGATGAAAGGGATGATCCAGATGAAGATAACGAAGATGATTACAACTTATTGGAAGACTAAACAGCTCTCCCTTTATCATGTTTATCTTAATATCGATCTGGTTGTTACGCTTCAAATGTTAAAAATTATTTTCCATCTAGTTTGATTAACCACGAGTCATTATTTCTGTCTACTTTCAACAATTATTGATAATTCGACTTGTTTCACAAGTTTTAGCAATGCGAAAATTTCTAAATTTGCTTATCTCTAATAAGGAAATTTACATCTGTGACAAAATTTTTGAATCTAAAATTGAAAGGTTGGACACCGGTAAAATGGCGACCGGGAAAATGTGGTGGGTTTTGAGCAATTTCGCCATATTTTTCCCGAACCATATTTTAACCGGTCGTTAATAAACCCGTCGTAATAATCCCGAGTAAGGTAACTGGACACTGATCCGCCGATTTTGTGTTAAGACAATCTTTACCCTGGCTAATTCAATCAGTTTAGAAAATCTGCAGTTTGATGCTTTGGACAGTTCTAACTTCGACTAGGCTATATAATATTGGTCACTATCATTAAAGAAAACTCACCCAGGTTTGGAGAATTGAGAAAATGAAGCCAGTAGCTGTCCCCGCTGGCAAGATAGGACAATTTTACTCGGGAGATTGTTACATCGTGTTTTACAGTTACCGTGAGAATGCTGGGCACGGCAAAGAAGTCCAGATCGTGTATTACTGGATTGTGAGTTTGATAAGATGCAATATTTGACCATACCAAGATTTCGACTTAATTTTTATTGCAAATAGAAGATTAATGAATAAATCATGATATTCTGACTTGATTATAATCTTACACTTATTTAACCAGGGAGCTCACAGTACGCCCGACGAACGTGGAGCGGCAGCTGCCTTTGCTGTAGAACTGGACGACAAACACGGTGGAAAACCAATACAGATGAGGATAGTTCAGGGAAAAGAACCCCCACACTTCATGCTCATCTTCAAGGGAACCCTCATTATTAGACAAGGAGGCAACAAATCTGCCTTCACTCATGTTAAGAAGGTAAATTCAGTATTCATACGGATTTTATCTTCGAACCAAATGTTGAAAACATTTAAATTCGCAGATTTCGAAGAATTAATTCAAGTTAATTATAGAAACATATCGAAATGAGGAATATCATCCTATTATTATATGAGTGTTTCCGCAATTTTAATTTCCATCTTTTATATTCAGCGAGAACATGTAGAAAATGGAGAGAACGGAGAAAATGGTGTGAACGGTTCAGCAACGGAAGAACCAATGGTAATTTTGTGTTTGGGTACTTCACTTTAATAATACAATGAGATCATTCAGATTTCAGGTCACATTCTGCCATTACCCTAATTTACGCAATACGCATTTACACCTCCGCTGTAATTTTTCATTTCAAGTTTGATTATTTTTTTAAATATCGGAACTTAATAAGAAACTTGTTCAAGTGTACTAACTTTTCTATCATCCATCATAATTAATGTTACCATGATTACGTCGGTGTGGGAGACTGTGAGAGTGCTAATTCTTATGTAACGATAATAATGTTATGATCCATTCTGGCTGATATTTAACATCTGCTAATTTCACAGGAGGAAGATTTGGCAGCAGAGCAGGATGAGAGTACTAGTAACCTGTTCCACGTTAAAGGTAGCACTGAGGACTGCTGCAAGGGAATTGAGGTGGGCTCTGTTTTCTGTTTTCTGTTTTCTGTTTTTCTGTGTATCTGCTTTTGGTACAGGTATTGTAAATCTTGTTTTGCGTCTATCTAACCTCTATTTCCCGGAGGAGGACAAGGTTTTAGCGAGATAAAATGATTAGTCACCCTTTCGACAATTTATAGGCAAGTTAAACTCCAAGTCAACACTTTAAACCTGTGTCGTTAGCTAAGTCTAATAGCTAAGTCCAATAGCTAAGTCCAATAGTGTTTTGATTTAAAGTTTGCCCCTGGTTACCCGGTACAGGGTATAGAAAGAGCCAAGAATTAATCCGAATTTCTGTTAAAATTCAGATAGAAAACAGATGCAGAAATGAGTAGTTTAAATTGTACAGTATCCACGCCCTCGAAATTTGAGATGGTTCAATGATTACATCACTACATTTAACATTACTGGCTTTGTGGTACGTGGTATAAAATCCGTACATGATATTCTGTATTCTAATACCGGTATAATCTCATCGAATTACCGCTGCTAGCTCAGAGCCAAAATCAAGTTCCCGTGTAGTTATTTAAAATTTTGCGAGAATTCTCGAAAATTGTTAAATTTTGGAAAAATTGTAATCTAAGTACTTTACAAATTATCTAACTTGAATAGTTATCTGTGACGTAGGTAAATACATTTACTATTGCGGAAATAGGGCATTGTGGGAAATTATATACACAAATCTCAAATTATCACATTTAACAAAAACTAAATCCACAAGACAAGCTTGCTATAGGTTTAAATAACTTACCGATCTATCAAGTAAATTCCAAAACATATCCCAAAATATGGGAAGTAAACAGTTACAAATAACATGAAATGGTTATTCAAAGTTGAGGGAAATTTAAGATCTGATAATAACAGTTTCGATTTAGGATTCGTTTACATACTTATACAAACAATGAACCACAATAAAAGTGTCATTCCAGTCGACCCCGCACCCGACTTTACCTCCTCGGAATTTTCTCTTGATAGTAACTCTGTAGGTTTGCAGATAGTGGCTGCAAATCTCAGTCCTCATGGCAAAGTCGGGAACCTCGTGTTTAACTCTTTCTATTACCGTAGCAGACGTTTCACTGATTTCCCAGTTGCCTCCGGACTGAGGGTCTAAACAGAGAAATGAAAGGCTATATTGGCAATAGAACCTTGAAATTTTGGAATCCTTAAAATCCGCCGACTTCGGTTCGGTATAATAATGTAACTTAAGGATGTAACCTCCTATTATTTGTAAATATAGGATTTAGAAATAATATGTTTGAAGTAATTAGATTTGATAAATTAAACAATGATGAAAATTTACCTGTAAGCTGCTGCATTTGCTCGACATCCTCTCTGGCGGCTAACTGGGCCTGAACCGCTAGTTCTTTGCCCCAAGTGATCTCCCAGTTGTTCTGGTGCTGTCTTTTAAGACATCTGACTTGACTGCCTTTACAGTAGGCCCTGCAGCCTAACACGCTCCTTGTTGACACATTGAGCAGAAGCAGCACTGAAATGGTTGGGTTTCATTTGCTGAGTGCAATAGAAATCATCTGTAGTAATTATCAACTAATAAGGAACCATGTCCAATAGAATAGGATTGCAAGAAAGAAAGTGGAAGTATCAAATAATTCATATTACCTGTTACGATAAAATAGTTAGATCCCATCTCCAAACTAAAGGGTGAGTTTCTGAGAACTTGTACAATGAACGTAACTACGAGGACGCAAAACTAGTGATCAGTAGTTCAGTACTGCAAGGTCTCGTGTGAAATCATGCTGAGATGGGGGAGGGACTCCTTTAAATACTGACATTGAGCAGGAACACGCAGTATATTTTAAACATGACATCATGCGGCCATACCAAATCACCAACATATTTCCAACCTCCTTATTTTCCTCCCACATTTTTGGATCAAGGATACTGCTGTTATGGTAAATTGCGGTTTTGGAACTACGTAATTTGAGCACCGTACTAAAGTGATATGAGTATGTCTAGGTCTATAAAATTGGGTCTGAGAAGTATAGGTAACTTGAGCTGTATTTCACAGAGAAGTTCTTTATTCTGGTCCTTATTGTTGATTAAATCGTTTTAGATCCCAATAATGCAGTGAAAATAATGTAATAATACATTTTGCATCATTGGAATTTTATCAAATCATTTAATCCGATCATTATTGATATGAAATGAAATGAGGTATTTATATCCCGCTCATATGATTAACCATCAACACAAGGAAGGTGGTTAACCATGTCTGAGCGGCTGACTGTGAGTGATGTGAGCAAAGTGTAAAAATGAACAAGAGCATAACTCAATATAAGGCTAAGACAAAATTAAAACATCTTTTATTGTAAACCACACTAAACTAAGAAGAAGCAGAAACAAAAATACATGAAACCATACAATACATGTAGGTGTAGCAAATTTTAATTTAAAGCCTAGTTATAAATGAAGTCGCGGTAAATTTCAAAATACTGTCTAAACTGTATCGTAAACTGACCCATGAAATAGGTCAGTCATTTATCTTTCTATTTAAAAATAACAAATAAAGTACGTCTGACGTCATGCAGAAGACGAAAGATCCGATATTAGCAGGAATGTAAACAAAATAAAATCGGATGGTGGATTTTGAAACGGCCGATCCAAAGCAGGAGTTAGTAGTGCTGACAAAATGTACGCAAATCAGCTTATAAATTAAATTTATAAAATATATACTTGAATCCTTCCCCAAAATGTAAGATGAAATTATCTGCCAGGCTGTCCTATCAACGGGATAATTTCTTAAATAATTTTAAGTAATTTTTGGAATCAGTAAATTTTAATACTAAATAATTTTAAACATTAGTATTATTAAGTAACATATTTCGATCACTAAATAATTTTAAACATTAGTATTATTAAGTAACATATTTCGATCACTTAAGTCACGCTGTATTATTTTGAATGAGGTCATCGATGTCTTTTCGGCAACAAAATTTAAATGTAAGAATTTTTATGAATAACATCACACTTTTATTTTTACTTTTACTTTTTAAAGATGCTATTGAAGTTTGTGATTAATTATCCGATTATAACAAATTATGTACAGTAAATTATGGATTTCAAATCTCGTAATATGACTATTTCCATATTGAATTATGAATTGTCTTTATTCTTATAGAAACAAGTAACTACAATAAAAGTGTCATTCCAATCGACGCCACACCCTACTTTACCTCTTCGGAATCTGGCTCTTATAGCCGGTCTATAGGCCTGTAAATAATGGCGGCAAACTTCCGTTCTCATTGCAAAGTCCGGGAAAACGTGCGTAACTCTAATGATGGTGTGGTCGGTTCTACCAGAGTCAGGTTCTGAAAAAGTGCCAACCTTTTTAAGATCATAAAGTTTAAAACTTCCATCTAATCGTTAGATTAAATGCTATAGCAATCTGTAGATCATTAGTGAAATTTAATTTAAATTCAGATTGAAATCGATACATAAATATTAAATAGGGCAGAAAATTAAAATACCAATAATATCGTTTTCAATTTGATAAATTCTCCGCCTTGTGTCTAACTGGGCCTGTGTCGCCAGCTCGTTCCCCCAATTAATACTCCAATGATTGTTATGCGATCTCTTCAGACATTTGACTTGAAACCCCTTGCAGTAGGCCCTACAGCTCAGAACGGCTCTTGTTGTTAGAGTGAGCAGTAACAGTACTGAAATAGTTAGAGTTGCCTGCCAAATGCAGTAGAAATAACCTTTTGAGGTAACAAAAATAGATTATAAGACAATGATTATCCACATTTTTAAAGCATGAATAGAGTAATATAAGAGCGAAAGAAAAGTAGAGTCTTACCTGTTATAGTAAATGAATTAAGTCCCATCTCTAAAGTCGAAACAAATGTCATTTTCATTAAACAGAAATATTTAAGTCTTGAAACTGATTGTAGAAAAAGTTTAGATAATATTAATACTGTATTAATGTAGATAATTTTAAGATAGATTCTGTTTTAGTATTAACTATTAAATCTCTGGTTCGTATTGCTAGTCTTCAATGAAAATTGTGTCCACAGAAAAAAAATATGGGAACTATCAATTTAGGAATTTACGAGTACAAATAAAAGTAACCACGACACATGTAAAATACTAAACAGGAAGTCTGATAACCACGACACATGTAAAATACTAAACAGGAAGTCTGATAACCACGACACATGTAGAATTCTAAACAGGAAGTCTGATAACCACGACACATGTAAAATATTAAACAGGAAGTCTGATAACCACGACACATGTAAAATATTAAACAGGAAGTCTGATAACCACGACACATGTAAAATACTAAACAGGAAGTCTGATAACCACGACACATGTAAAATACTGAACAGGAAGTCTGATAACCACGACACATGTAAAATATTAAACAGGAAGTCTGATAACCACGACACATGTAAAATACTGAACAGGAAGTCTGATAACCACGACACATGTAAAATACTGAACAGGAAGTCTGATAACCACGACACATGTAAAATACTAAACAGGAAGTCTGATAACCACGACACATGTAAAATACTAAACAGGAAGTCTGATAACCACGACACATGTAAAATACTGAACAGGAAGTCTGATAACCACGACACATGTAAAATACTAAACAGGAAGTCTGATAACCACGACACATGTAAAATACTAAACAGGAAGTCTGATAACCGCGACACATGTAGAATACTAAACAGGAAGTCTGATAACCACGACACATGTAGAATACTAAACAGGAAGTCTGATAACCACGACACATGTAAAATACTAAACAGGAAGTCTGATAACCACGACACATGTAAAATACTAAACAGGAAGTCTGATAACCACGACACATGTAAAATACTGAACAGGAAGTCTGATAACCACGACACATGTAAAATACTAAACAGGAAGTCTGATAACCACGACACATGTAAAATACTAAACAGGAAGTCTGATAACCACGACACATGTAGAATTCTAAACAGGAAGTCTGATAACCACGACACATGTAAAATACTAAACAGGAAGTCTGATAACCACGACACATGTAGAATACTAAACAGGAAGTCTGATAACCACGACACATGTAAAATATTAAACAGGAAGTCTGATAACCACGACACATGTAAAATACTAAACAGGAAGTCTGATAACCACGACACATGTAAAATACTAAACAGGAAGTCTGATAACCACGACACATGTAAAATACTGAACAGGAAGTCTGATAACCACGACACATGTAAAATACTAAACAGGAAGTCTGATAACCACGACACTTGAAAATACTAAACAGGAAGTCTGATAACCACGACACATGTAAAATACTGAACAGGAAGTCTGATAACCACGACACATGTAAAATACTGAACAGGACTACAATATCCAATATGAAACAACGTACCTCTTTGCAACATCCGCCGTAATTTTCAAGAGTATTCAGTGTTACTTCAAGGGTTTATTATGGTATATACCTGGTATATTTCTCTGCCTGGTCAAGTCACGAGTAATCAGAAATAAACATATTATCTGCAGCGGTGTCTTGTTACGAGTGTTTCTAGGAAATTCCGTGAAACATGTTGGTATTTGTTGTTTTACTGATTTTCCTGTTTCAAATTATTTCTACGATCATTTTTTTTTTTCTTCGAAGGTTTCTATATCCTGGCCCACTGGCTGTACTATGATAATTATGGGACTCATAACCAAGTGCTTTCATTCAGTGCATTTTGTGGTTTCATATTATGGTTAATGGTTATTCCCTATTTACATTTGAAGTACAATTGTCGTTCACACTAAAACTTCTTCTAACGTCCCTACAGAAACAAGCAGATCACATTAAGTGCTGATGTGTGCTTATTTAGAAGTCGCTACATCTGATACAGTAATTACAAGAAACACAAGTATCTTTCGAATCTGAAATATAAAAACATATTTAATTTGAAGATGGTGGGGATATAGGAGGCTATATGAAAGAAAAGTCGTAGAAAGCTCAACTCGGGGTGCAAAATATTCGTATTAGCTACATTTATGTACGAATTATGATGTAAAATCAAATACTTAATACTTATGTTAATATTTGTATCGTCTCCCCACTGCTACATTGTCAACTATGTAGAAATTAAATTCTGTCTTTAATGTTCATAAAATCGTAACACAGATCATCAAATCATAATCAATACAATGCAATATTTACAAAACATATTCAGCTTTTAAATAAGGTTAACAAGGTTTACAACAAGGTTTACAAAAAATGGATCCATATAACACTGAAGATAATGTCAGATGAGCGTTGCTAAAAAAGTCATAGTCCGAAATCCAAGTTGAAAATCCGTTACCATTAAAGTGTTTAAACCAAAAGAAAATCCTGATGTCGTTTTAAAGGCGTGTGTAAATCGTTCAAGCTAAAAAAAGGAAAATTATCAATTTATAAGCTTAATAAGGATAAATAGCATTAGGATAAATAAAACAAATAACAAACTCATCCATGCGATATGTACTGAAAATTCAACGTTTCAAAGATTAATTTATGTAAAATAACACAGCTAATTAAGATGCTTAATGCTTATATAAACAATATACTACAATCCAGGGGTGGTGCCAATCCACACCACACCCAACTTTAGTGTTTCTTAGGTTTTCCTCGATCGTTTGTTTGTAAAGTTCTATGTAGTGATTGCATGTTTCACTCTTCATGGCAAAGTCCGGAATATAATCAAATACTTCAGTGTATACACTTCTTCTGTAAATATGCTTGGGGGACCGTGCCGTTAGTGATCGTCCCGTTAGCGAGCGTCCCATTGAATCTGAATGGGTAAAACATTTTAAAACAATCTCGGGATATGACGCTTATTATAAAACTCTACTGTCAGAAGTCCAGACTACTGTGATGAATAATCTAGCCCTGTCACTCATGTTTTGTTGACTATAAACAGGAAAATGATTTATGAGATGATTTGTATTTATCGAGATTGCAATCAAATCGTTTGCCTTATCCATCGCAATATGAATGCCTGTAATTGCTGCCGAGAAAATTATCTTTTATTTTAAATAAACTCTGCTATAAATATTACTTAATTGAATCACGTTACCTTGATTTGAAATTCTGGCGGTCAGTTTCTTCTTAGCATATATAGCTGCCTGGTTGGCTAGTTGATTGCCCCACTTGATGTTGTATCTATCTTTATGTGCTTCTTTCAGACATTCTACCTCCTCCGCCTTGGTGTAAGCGCCCAAACTAGCTTCAATAGAGATCATCAGGAGCAGGACTGAAATGGGGAACAATCATAAGCACAATTCCATCTGTAATGATTTATGAAAAAGATTTTTTGTTTTTCATTATATAAATCTTCAATCAATTATAATGATTTCAACTTTACATTCTAGTCTGGACTTTAGGGATTTTACAATTAGTATCCCCTCCTTTCACTTAGTAGATTAAGCCTATTCATACCTGTTAAAATACCAGAAGTGACACTCATCTCCATATTAAAGTGCGACCTAATGAAAATTAAGTAAGAACTTCGGTAAGAAAATAAGAGGAAAACTTTATGACGCAGTAGTTCAATGATTCCATTTTCTGAACCACTGCTATAAAAGGGTGTTTCTTAAACCCTACTTTGAGTAGAAAATCATATCGCACTGCGAAAAATTAATCAAGTCCAAACTGTAAACCTCCATTTTCAAGTGGATACTCTAAGCTCTAACTCGGACCGATTAATAATCGAAATTAATAATCTAAATAAACGTCAACCCGAGGGCTGAGGTACTTCAGAATCTAACAACTTATTGATTAATCATCACAATTTAACCTGAATCAAGAGAATGTAGACTGAAAATGATGACTTTATTGGGGCTGGGCACGCTTCCATATCGTGCAAGTCTCCTTATATATTATATAATTATGATTAATCAAAAGTGACAAACTTTTAAAAAACTTGTATCTTTGCGTCATTGTTTGTCAAAGGCAACTAGAATGTTGGCGTCTATCAGTGACGTCATTTATTTAAGTACTCAGCAGTAGGACTTCATAAATATCGACGTAGGATCACGGTAATAAAATTGTTTAAACTAAAACATGACAAAGGGAAAGTTACCAAACGCAAATCCACCGGCTAGTTACCTTCTGCACGATTACCCCTGCTCATTTAAGACAGCTATTATAGACGTCTGTCTTGGCCCACAACATTTCAGGCACATACGCAACCGAATTAGAGGAATGCACAGTAAGAACGAGGAACAAAACACATAATTAAGTCGAATTTGCACCTATAAATTAATTGCACGTGCGGCAAAACTGGTCACATGGCAATGGGGGCTGCAATCTCAGGCAGGTGTCTTGATTCTGGAAAATTTGTATCATTTTTTCTGGCATTTCAGCGCACAGTGTATGACGTAAACTGCGTGTCTTAAAAAGGCTTCTCCTTTATTTATACGATTAGCTAACCCACTAAGTGGAAGGTTCAGAAGGTTGCTGTGTCTGAATTTATCTCAGTAAAGAACGAAAGTATTAATCTTCACGTTGGTCAATGTTACCATAAGAACACGTCATTAATTATGCCTCGTGCACATTAAATACACTGAACAAAATTAAAGACTAGATAGACACCAAGTAAAAGTATTACCTTAAGTAAGGCAGTTGCATTAGTTAAATGACGCCATATCATTGTGAATAGATTAACTTTCACGGCTTCCATTTTAAAACTTTGCCGGCAATATTACTCATAACCTTACCAATATTAGTAATAGTATATTTTAAGCCTCCCATACTGTAAAACCAGATATTTTCGTTGGCATACTAAAAAAACGTACTAATTATTGGTTCTACAATAATGCGAAAATGTAGGGCTCTATATTAGGTATTATGAAACGCGGCCGAAATTGATCCGGAAACATTTTTCCTAAAAATCCCCATTTAAGTACCAGAATTGAGAATAGATGTACCTGATTATTGGGCTCGCAGTTGGTCAGACTTTTCTACAGAAACTATCAACAACTATCAAATGAAATTATGGAACAAACACCAGAATACTAATCCTGCTAAAGAATGATTTCACCCAAGGTTTACACTTGTAAATTCCTGTTTCCTTAAATCTCAACTTGAATAATCGCTTTAAATTTGGTGCTGTAATAAACTATAAACTGCATAGTGTATCATAACTAACTACTCAAGAATGTCTAAAAGTTGGAAACTGTTCAATTTTATCCCTGATCAAGCGTCTAACGTATGCGTTACATCATTGCCATTATTTATCCCCTAAGAAATGTTGGATTTTTGCCACGGAAGATGTTTATCCTTCATGCCCATTTTTTACCTTTACTAGGTTCACAATTAAGGATTTCACCAAATACCAAGACGACGTGATCTCAATATGATCTAATTATGATCTCATCACGATCTTAATACGGTTTCCTCTCAGGTAGTCCCTAAAGCCAGCATGCTGAACAGTAACGACGTATTTGTGCTGTCGTACGACATCACCACCTACGTGTGGTACGGTAAGGGATGTAGTTCTATGGAGATGAAAGTTGGTGACTACATCGCTACAACCATTGTTAACAAAAGTGCTCCAATGCTAGGTAGGTTTCTAAAGTATTAAGGAAGGGAATTAATCGCTTTTTTAGAAATAGGAACCATACGTGGAAAAATCTGTGAGAACGAATTTCTTTTGCGAGACAAAACCGTCCTCTGAGTACGATATATCCAGGTTACGATGAATTTGTATTCTACCTTGAAGTATTAAATTCCTCCGTACCTACCGTATGTCCCAAAATTGTCCACAAATTCCTACAATATCATAATTTGAATTTCTACCAGGGATACACGAAGGAGCCGAGCCTGCCCAGTTTTGGACGCTGCTAGGAGGTAAAGAGGAATACGCTGACTCGGTTACCTTGGCAACCGCAGAGCCCATCTATCCGGCCCGACTGTTCCATGTCAGTAATGCTAAGGGTTACATCGCTATCGAGGAGATTGCGGACTTTGCACAAGAGGTTGGTGGTATTTGAATTGTTCTGTATTAATATGACAGCGTAGCGTTACCCGGTCGCACTATCGCAGTTGAAACAGAGCAAACGTTTAAACCCGCTCAGTAGAAAACCCGCATCAAGCAATCAAGATACGTTTGTAAAATTCCATGTGACGAACAAAATTATGAAACATTAACAGTGAGGATGAGGATGAGGAGAACATACTTAAACTAAATTAACGAAGGGCAGCCATCGCTCACCAAACCATGGTGTGCACTGTGCATGGTACTTGGTAGCGGATCTCATTAGAGCTGCGAAAATAACATGAGTGCCTTGCATATGCCTGGGGTTGCGTCCCGAACATGCTGTAGGGCGCAGGCAAATCTGTACCGAAAGGACTGTGGCCGAACGCTACGTACGAATAGGAAATCGGCCCCTCGTTCCTAGCTTGCTAGGTCCGCCAATCGCCATGTTGTTGTTGTAACGTATCGAAACGGAAATGTTTTGTGCCAATTGAACCTCCCATAAAGCAGTTAAGCTCCGTTCTCCCGGTAAGTGGCATGAAGGCAAAAGCTCTGTTACCACCGCCCCTGGTCCAACCCAATTGGTCTATGACAGAGAGACAGGGACGTCCAGAAGTGGTCGACTTAAGTAACGTTTTAAAGCGGAATGTTTTGCAGTTTGCTCCAATTGAACTTCCTATAAAGCACCGTTTGCCCGACAGCTGTTAGTAGCAAGCGCCGAGCATGATATCAGGGCGGCCGGTAACTGGTAAGTGGTAATGTGGCATGATGAAGGCAAATCCGCTCCCTCACTCAGGCCGAGGAGCAAAGAGTTGTGGGAGCGAATGAGATTACAGTGCAGGGTCGATATCACGCGACAATTTGAAAGCCGATAGGAGCGCTCCATTGGTGTCGAGTGCGCTTGCAGACAGGGCTGTTGGCAAGCAGCCACTGACTGGTGTGCGCTTAGGGGGTAATTTGGTAGAAGGAGTTAAAGTTGAGAGTTTTAGGCGAGGTCAGAGGTGTCTTTAGCTTTTCTTTACTTTCGAGATAGAGGGGGGACAATTGAGACAAGTTCGTAAACTAATGTAAAGCGAAGTGGAGTAAAGTATAAATACTACTTGTCACAAAATGAGTCACAGTATAGGATTCTGTACCCTCAGTACTGGAACTTACAAACTTAAAAACGTCAAACATTGGGACTTAAGAGTCAAGGCCCAAGAAACAAGAACCCAGAGCTCAAAAGACAAGAACCTATAACCAAGCCCTAAGACCTAGTTAAGAGCCCGAAGCCACTTATTGGATGAAAATACGACCTTATAAATAATTCCTTATCGCATTCATGAGGTCATTCACGTGTCTGAATCGTAACAATATCATTATCAATGTCTCTGAATTCCGTGCAAAATTCAAATCAATTTCTCTGATCTCGTTCTTAAAAGTGTTATAATTGTCTTCGTAAATCTCGTTGCTACTAAAACAATATTGCAAAACATTCTTACGTCCTTCTCTTTCAAAAGGATAACCTCCTTATCTTTCAAAGGGAAAACTCGTCTTATAAATCACGTTGCAAATACACAAAACTCGAACAGCATAAACTTGTCTCCGTGCGAATCTCCACAGTAACATATTTCTTCACACGATCTTATTACTTTAAAAATTCTAAAATAAGCGCACGTGAAAGTCTGATTTAAATTCCTGCAGGCTTGGATCATTAACCTGTAAATAATTCTAAAACTTTGATAATTATCACCTTATCATGAAACCTGGAGATGAGCCGACTGGCTCAATCAAAATACCAGTCAAGACCATTCAAAACTAACCACTTGGAATGCTCGAAATATCAAGAACTTAAATCTAAACAGCTTAAAATAAGGGTACAGAATCCGTGGGAGGTTCCGTAGTAATTGGGCTGTAAGTTTCATAAGGTCTTTACAATAATTTACGATCATATTAAAATGTGTTATTTGGACTTAAAGAAATGCTCGAATCAGGACGGATATTAAACAGCGTACAACACTTCCCTCTTAAAAAATGCTAAGATTGATTCTCTCTGTACAATCTTTCAGTTAAGATACAGCTAACAGATCTCATATCATATTACATGCAGTGTTTCTATGAATCCTTAAAGTCTAAATCACATGCTGCGTTATTAAAGGCTTACGATCATCGATGATAATATAATTATAACATGTCATATTTATCGGGTTTATAATCACGAAAAGTTACAATGTAATATATATTTAGTTAAGGAGGCAATGTTTATTCATAACTGCATTAGGCAGTGAGCTTCAAGTTCATATATCAAATACTGTGTCTCTAATTCGCGGCTGAAATCTGCAGAGTTATTCGTTAGCTTTGTTTCAATATTCCAATCTTGTACGATGTCTTTTCCGTGACTTTTTTCGAGGAACAGCTTGTCTAAAACTTGCTGGGGTTGTTATAGAGTGAAGAAGAAGTAGTGAGAGGGTAGTTTCCAGAGTGGTATCGTTATACCTTCTGTAAGTTTCCTGTTACATAAATTGTGATTCTGCAACTATAAAGCTATAATTTGCAATATGGGATCAATTATTTTGGATCATGTTCATGTTCGACCAGTGAGTTATCCTTTGTTGTCGAACTGAAGAGTGGGCTGGAGGTTCTTTCAGGAGTGATTTAATGTCAGCTTCGGCTTGAACTTTTGCACTCAGCAACATTCATTAGACCTGTTTTCTTACTTTCAAATCAGCATTTCAATCGGAATGTCTAACTATTTATGGGTATCAAGTGCAACCTTTGTCATCAAGTTCGAAACAGTTTCAGCCGTTGCAAAACTACTTATACCAACAGGTAGATCAAATCTTCCAAGTATTTACTACATGGACTCATCAACTAATGGTAGCAACTCCTCGTCAATGAATCACTACTTGGTAGAGTTAACCAGCCAGATAGGCATTCATAGTTCTTTCCGTCGTAATAAGTGTCTTTCAGTAACTTTTGGTGCTTTCAGTGTCTTTTAGAATCTTTCAAAATTTCATGTGGAAAGGGAGACAGGACCAGTTTTGGCCTGAGTAGACTTGAGAGACGATGGAGCGAACAATGCAAATTAAAGCTTGGGCTAACCTTTGAAGAGCGAAAAATATCCTTTTTTGGTCTGGGGTTGTACCTAAGTTGTTCAGTCTCTGAGAGGTCCGGGGCATTGTTTTCATTCATGGGTTCGCTGGTTGGAGCTTCCATTTCCATAACAGTGCCGAACATCAGTTTCGTCCTTTCACTTTCGTCCATCGGATCAGATATCTTGTGGTTCTCATCGTCATTGGTGATCTTTTCAGTAGCATTGCCGGTTCCTTTGCATATCAAGGTTCTTCTAATTGATATCTCTAGAGTGCTCGGATCAATTCGACAAGTCTATACTTCGCTTATTATCAACTAAAGCTAGCAAGTAGCGATCAACGTAACAACTGACAAGGGTCATCGTGATGCTAGAATGGGGTCTCTGGGAGGTAGATCTCAGCTAGGGTATTTGCTGCGGGTTCATCAGCAAAAGCAGCAACTCCTTGCAATGAACCACTACTCTTAGCTGGGACCCGATCAGATGAACAATCACATTTGTTGATTTTATCACCATAAGATATCAGTCCTTGACATTTCTGTAAGTAAAAGTCATAATCCTTCAGGTGGACGAAACTAATTAGTAATTAGTTAGAATGTTAGATGTGGATCCTAACTTAGCTTCATCAACTTAGGCATGTTAGTTTCATCGGGTTGTGCTTGTAAGGTATTGTTATCTAGTGTTGACTAGGAGTTTCAGCTTTGCGTTAATTTGTAGGGATAAGCTTTATTGTGTCAAAATGGCACACAATCTGCTTATTCGTTTCCAGGTGTTGTACCAGGTAGGTCCAAGAGGCTAGGACTTTGAAGATCTTCGAGGGTTCAAGGGTTCCAGGACTGTGTCAATTCTTGAATTTTCTGAAATCTGTAATGGAGAGGCTAAGAAGTTTCCACATTAGGACCAAGTCGTCTTCAACTCTAATGTAGCAAGTGGATCTCCCATGACTAATGTAGTAAATTATAACCTCGTTTGGGATCGGTTGGCTGAGTTCCAATAGACTGCAGCGTACAACTCAGTGCCCGGGTTCTCCACCAAATTGTGCGCTTAGGGGGTAATTTGGTAGAAGGAGTTAAAGTTGAGAGTTTTAGGCGAGGTCAGAGGTGTCTTTAGCTTTTCTTTACTTTCGAGATAGAGGGGGGACAATTGAGACAAGTTCGTAAACTAATGTAAAGCGAAGTGGAGTAAAGTATAAATACTACTTGTCACAAAATGAGTCACAGTATAGGATTCTGTACCCTCAGTACTGGAACTTACAAACTTAAAAACGTCAAACATTGGGACTTAAGAGTCAAGGCCCAAGAAACAAGAACCCAGAGCTCAAAAGACAAGAACCTATAACCAAGCCCTAAGACCTAGTTAAGAGCCCGAAGCCACTTATTGGATGAAAATACGACCTTATAAATAATTCCTTATCGCATTCATGAGGTCATTCACGTGTCTGAATCGTAACAATATCATTATCAATGTCTCTGAATTCCGTGCAAAATTCAAATCAATTTCTCTGATCTCGTTCTTAAAAGTGTTATAATTGTCTTCGTAAATCTCGTTGCTACTAAAACAATATTGCAAAACATTCTTACGTCCTTCTCTTTCAAAAGGATAACCTCCTTATCTTTCAAAGGGAAAACTCGTCTTATAAATCACGTTGCAAATACACAAAACTCGAACAGCATAAACTTGTCTCCGTGCGAATCTCCACAGTAACATATTTCTTCACACGATCTTATTACTTTAAAAATTCTAAAATAAGCGCACGTGAAAGTCTGATTTAAATTCCTGCAGGCTTGGATCATTAACCTGTAAATAATTCTAAAACTTTGATAATTATCACCTTATCATGAAACCTGGAGATGAGCCGACTGGCTCAATCAAAATACCAGTCAAGACCATTCAAAACTAACCACTTGGAATGCTCGAAATATCAAGAACTTAAATCTAAACAGCTTAAAATAAGGGTACAGAATCCGTGGGAGGTTCCGTAGTAATTGGGCTGTAAGTTTCATAAGGTCTTTACAATAATTTACGATCATATTAAAATGTGTTATTTGGACTTAAAGAAATGCTCGAATCAGGACGGATATTAAACAGCGTACACTGGAACAGATAGTACCTCGCGGGGTACACCCGAAAGTTAGATTTAAGCATGATGTCAGCAGTCAGGGCGCTCAGGCAAATCTGAAATCCGCTCCCTCACTCAGGCCGAGGAGCAATTGTGATCGAATTACTATTAATTAGACTATTAGTCGTTACGTATATACTATATATTTCAGATTAAACGGCTGCTAAAAAGCAGCAGGTGGCCGGCCACCGATTGAATTGGCGTTCATTACCGGACAATTATATCGGACAATACAACTAAACTAGCTAAATTTTTTATACTTTTGGGACTTTTCAAAATGTTGTTAAATCTAAACTGAAGTGAGATCTTTAGATCCCTTAAACTGTAGACCCCTTAAACTGTAAATAATTTAGGGCCGGGGTTAACTGATAAACAAAACAGCTTTGAAACGGAAAAATGTAATGGTGCCAATTGTTTTCGAAACATGAGGTCATGACTTCTCGAGAAATAGCTGTGGGTACTGGGTATCGAGACAATACAAGCCGAAATTAAAATAGGCAGGAATTCCTTGATCTTTTGAACCGCGCCAATGGTTTACTTGTAATTACACGCAAAACTTTAACTTTAACTCTAAATATCTTTTTTCCACATAAATCTCAACTTTTGGAAAAGACTGGCCACACCCAGGACCTGAAACTTGGCACAGGTGTTCCTTGGAAGCTTGGACTGTTACCCACAGTCTTTTCCAAAAGTTGAGCTTTATACGAAGAAAAAGAAACATTTCGAATAAATCAAGTTTTAATGTTTCCATTTCACCAGGCCAAAATCTCAAATTGTGAATTATTTTCAGTATTTAGTAGCGTCTCCATTCAATTTTTGCTTTATATTATTAGGATGATAAGATGTTTATTGAGATGTTTATTGAGATACTATGTATCAATATCATAAACCAAAATTTGCCTTTAAAAAATCAATAAAAAGAAGGAATTGTTTGATATCACGAACCCGGGGATGTAGCCAGTTATTTGGCTAATGAATGTGATGGACAATTAAAATATACGATGGCCTTTAAATAACCTTAATCTTCCAAGCTATTTCCATTGATCAATAATCATCCTTCCGGGGAACATGTTTTGTGTTTGTCCATAAACATCCCTTACCTCTGCACGGACATCATTAGAACAGACACCACCCACGCTTCCGAATCGGTTAACTTCGTTTATCAAAACAAGTTAAGCAGCTACAAATTTAAGAATAGCAGCAATGTTTTTGTCACTTTTTTTGGCACTATTATATACCGAAAAACCAATCCCTTTACTCATATCTCTTTACTCAAGTTGTTTTAAACTGGTCTTAGTATAGTAAATTAGTATACATGGTCTACGTGGCGAGATGGGCGTGCCTAACGAACAGATGTCTACACTCACTAAACTGAACGATCAGGAAGTATGTCCCTATATCTGTCAAGAACAGAAAAGGAGAGACGTGTGTTTCTGCAATTTGGTTGTATCAGAAATGTGTCTGATACAACAGTGAGGAGTCTGCCTCACTAAACTTCAACAATAAATTTATAAAGGGAGAAGTGTGTCTTACTGAAAATATCGAATTTAAAAAGGGCGTCTCAATAATCTGGTAAAATAGAATAGAAGAATATAACTTTACAGTAAATATAGATATTCTGTACTTGGTTTAATTAAACGTACTCAAAAAGTGACCCAGTTACAAACTTGTAAGCCCTTAAAAAGCCTGCGGAAATGCGTGAGTAAATCACGCGTTAATAAATCACGCGATAATAAGAAAAACCACTCGGCCAACTTACTGTGCTGCTTGTACAGTGTACACAGTAACCGGTTGCAAACCCGACTACCCTTTACGTGATAATACAACTTTCATTTTAGTTGAACCTACTTTCTAGGCAATTAAGGTAATTAGACCTCGTATATTAATAGATTTCGGATCAAACGGCCGCTAGAAGGCAGCGCCAGCATGTCACTAGCCAGCAATCGGACACACGCTGCATACCAGCATAGACACGCTCAATATGAGTACATAACTCCAGGACACGCGATTACGATTGGCCGAAAACTGCGCCATGTGATGCACCACGTGATACATTCCAACTTCACCTATCCATCAGTCTACGCGTAAGCTGGGGGACGTGCTTGTTTCACAATTACCTCCGATCCTGTGCCGCCTTCGGCTACTGCAAGCGAGAGGGCTCTGGATAGAGCAACATTCCAAGTGCGGCACTGTTATTTGTTTTGAAACTTCCCGCCAGCCAGTCTGAGGTGACTCGCTTCTGTGCTGATAATAGTAATACGCTCGCTTCTCTTGCGGGAAAAATATGCAAATTATCAGCTCTCAGTGTCCACGAGTTTTAGTGCATATATTTATAATTCCCGGAAATAGTTATATCTAGGAGCGTTCTGGATCGATTCTAGAAGATTCTGATTCTTTCACAACAATGTTGGCAAACACAAACATACAAGGTGTCAGGCGGTAATATGCTCTATCCTACAGACCAAGGTAAGGATCTTGGAGTTATAGTGTCTTCTGATATGTCGTGGTCACATCATGTCAGTTCTATAATGGCATCCCGAGCTAGAAAAGTTGCAGCCTGGGTGCTCCGTGCGTTCAAGTGTGAAGTGCAGCAATAGAATCACAATGTTGACACTTTACAAGTCACTTGTCCGAAGTCATTAACTGCCCTCTGTGGAATACCAGTAAAATCTCAGACATCCAACAGATTGAAGGAGTACAGCGTACTTTCACCTCAAGGATTTGGGGTGTTCAACATCTTAACTATTGGCAGCGGCTCAAGGCACTAAATTCAATGTCGATGCAAAGGAGGAGAGAGCGTTATATCATCATCCACATGTGTAAAATCTTACACCAACGCTGCCCAAATGACCTTGGGATTCATTTTTCTACTCCATCAAGACACGGAATCAAGGCCACCATTCCAAGTCTCAGCAAGAGCAGTACTCAACGGCAACAGTCATTGTATTATGGTTCATTTGCAGTAATGGGGCCACGTTTATCATTATGGAACACCATTCCATCAGATCTTCACCTCATTGAAGACCGACTGCTGTTCAAAGCAAAACTATCAGCATTTCTTAAACCGTTTCCAGATAACCCATCGGTGAGCAATTACAGCTGCCCTAATGGAAATTCTTTGCTGGACTGGACTATGAATAAGGCAGCAGTGATGCTGCAAGGGCGGTCGAACTATTCGATGACCCAGTAGAGGAATCTACGAATCTCTCCAAAGTATCCAAAGTAAGTAATGTTTCAATAGTCCCGCATTTGATTTTGTACGTATATGATATAAAAGTCATGCTGGTATATCATGCGCTGCTCATGACCCTGTAGCCTCCTATGATGCCGGAGGTCTTGCTAACTCCTCTGCTCCTCGTAATCGTGTCCGCTCGAAATGTAACAATTGCGTTGTTATGAATGTCCACCGAGAATCTTCACAGATTTACTAAGCTTTTTCCTGTGCATCAACTCCCGGACTCCATTCCAGCAATATATTACGCTACAATCAATGCTATTCGTAACTTATCATATCCGAGAGACCACATTTGAATCGTTATCAATAGTTTGATCCAGCAATTTACTACGCTACAATTAATGGCAAATTATGCTAGTCGTAACTAATTGCATCGAAGATACCATACATACCATTAAATTTCATAATATTTCATGATTGATATGCGGTCATATGATCTGGTAACCAATCAATAGATTGAAGCGGTCATATTGCATATAGTGTACAACTGTTCACGAACACCTGTTCACCTGTTCAGGTTTAATTACTAACCAAATTTTCTAACAAATATGAACCTAGAATATAGAGTTAATATTTGCTGGCCGAAATAACAACAAATCTTGGAGTGTAAAAAAATCTTAACCTCAATTTTTATTAACCTCATTGTTGTATAGTTAATTTTGTAAGAATCGGTTAACTTCATTTATGGCGAGATGGGCGTGCCTAACTAACAGATGTCTACACTCACTAAACTGATCTAACATACACTAACAGGAAGTATGTCCCTATATCAAGACCAGAAACGGAGAGAAGCATGTTTCTGCAATTTTGTTGTATCAGAAATGTGTCTGATACAACAGACAACAGTGAGAAGTGTGCATCACTAAACTTCAACAATAAATTTATAAAGGGAGAAGTGTGTCTTACTGAAAATATCGAATTTAAAAAGGGCGTCTCAATAATCTGGTAAAATAGAATAGAAGAATAGTAAATCTAGATACTCTGTACTTGGTTCAATTAAACGTACTCAAAAAGTGACCCGGTTATAAACTTGTAAGCCCTTAAAAAGCCTGCCGAAACGCGTGAGTAAATCACGCGATAATAAGAAAACCACTCGGCCCACTTACAGTGCTGCTTGTACACAGTAACCGGTTGCAAACCCGACTACCCTTTACGTGATAATCAAAGTTCCGTTTTAGATGAACCTACTGTCTAGGTGTGCCCCGGGTGACTTTGTGCCCCAAGTGTGCCATACCCACTACCCAGGGACATTTCTCTCTCCAGTGTAGTCCCAGATCACAGGTGTAATACTAGTGTTCATTTGTTAGATGAATCATATTGATAACTTACTATATTGATAGTAAATCGACAAAGTCATAATTAAAGAAAATACGTGAAAAATAATTTGTGGGAAAAACTATGGTGACCTAAATTTTGGTAGTCCGTACCTTTTAAATATGTCTCGTAAGGTATTATCCGATTTTATAAAGTTAATCGGCTGCTTTGCAAGATCATGAGTGACAGGCATGCTGTCGAGTGTCGAACCAAGTGGAAAACGTGACTCAAAGGGTCAAGTGCAGGGTTGTAGGAATGGCGTCAGATTTGAACCTTGTAGCAGATCCATGAGCAAACAAACAACTATGATGACGAAGTATCTCGCTGTCCTGTCTGTCAAAGAATTTATTTATAGCTCCCGATGAGATTACTGATTGAAAGGATTTCGTCACCCAATCAGTAATCTCATCGGGAGCTATTCGCTAGCGAGCAACAATGAGCCTCATTAGGCGGTAACGAGCATGTTGGTGGATGACGATCTGATCACTTTGAGTGAATACTGATAGTGACGATCCTTAAAACAGAAGAAATTTGCGTTATAGCGCTTCGGTTACTGTCCTATAAGCAGTCTCAAACCAATCAGGGCATTGATCATTTAATTAATTGATAACACGAACTAGATAAACTGCTAATAGATATTACAAGCTCTCCAAAATCTGATCCAGCCGCTCCTAGATATACCATGTGATAAAAGCGTCATCTCAGATGATTCAAATCTATTAACAATAAATTCTTTGACAGACAGGACAGCGAGATACTTCGTCATCATAGTTGTTTGTTTGCTCATGCACTGATTAGTGGCGAGATCACGTATCTGCAATATCTTAAAAGGGTCATAACTCGCTTAAATTGTAAACAACCAACTTGAAATTTTGGGAAAGCACTTTAATTATCAAACCAAATATGTCTAGAAACTTTGAAGTTCCTAGCTGAATGCTTTCTTACTTTATGGTGACAATAGCGAAAAAGATGGATTGGCGTGCCACACCCACTGAAATTAATTAAATTTGACGAAACTTTCAGGAAATCTAAGTTTGATCCATATCTATAATCTCTAAAATTTCTGTGCAATTCTAAGAAGAATTACGTGAGTTATTAAAGGGTTGCGTGTGGGCAGTTACTTCTGGGCCACCCTGTAGTAAGATGATCAATCAAATCGAATGCTCTAATTCAAGTTAGATCGATGTTAGGTTTTTATACCACAGTGTTACTGTTTTAAGCATCTAAATGGCTTGTGTTTCTTTTGACCTACAAGCTGTCATGACTTTAAGATGTGATCAGTGATCTTATATTGCATCGGGTTTTCGTGGAGTCTGTTAAACTGTTAGCTGGTATTTCCCTATAATTTTAAAATTAATTAATTGCTTGTGTTTATTTTGCCCTACTATACAAGCTGTCATAGCCATGATTTAAATCACAACTTAAATGTTAAAGCTGATATTTTGCATGCCTAAATCATCCTCATCGGATTATAGTGTGACTGGGATTGAAGGCGTGAGATTGTTTGGCTAAAGACTGTGTACCATATTTGGCTGCTGTTTATTTGGTTATATTACGTGCTGTGTTCAACTTCAGAATGGTTCAAGAGTTTTGCCCACTTCCATGACAGTGTCTTATTTCATTGGTATACATCGGGTTTTATTAATTTCAGTTGTAATAGCGTGGAAATTTTCACAATGTTCAAGTGCAGTAGAACCCTATATTTAAAATAAACTAACTGCGTGTAATAATGTAACTCCAGTTGTTACTGCAAGAACTTTCAAGACTCAGTTACCGTGGTTACCATGTCAGATTATATCTTATTTTACACCTCTATTATCGTCGTGGAGCTTGTACTCTTTTAGTTTTAACTTTGATGTTTATAGCTGCATATGCATGTTTATATATGCGATTGATCAACATATGGCCGAAAATCCTTACTTTCGAGAAATTCGCCAAAAACCATTTTGGGCGTGGCGCTGAGCCCGTTTTACTAACTTTTGATAGGAACATGATAGAGACTTCGGATGGAGTGCAAAAGAACTGCAATGAGCATATTTATATATAACTTACGAAAAAACATATGCCTCAACGTGATAACTTTGTCGCCAATTAATTGGCGAAAAACTGATTTTGGGTTCAGAAATCATACCAAAATATGAGTATCTTGTAAATTGAGCTATGAAAGTTCTAGAGATTTTAAAATTAAAATGAGTACAAATTGTGCAGAATGGCCATACCATGAAGCAATATGTACCCTAAAACCGTAAAACGCTCACTTTTCGAGTTATCAACAATGAAGTTGAACGAGAAGCAAACATGGCCATTTTAACCAATCTTGCTCTATTTTGTGCAAATTTTCCCTGCTTTTTCCCCAAGAACTCGAAAAGTTAATTAAACGTACTCAAAAAGTGACTCCGGTAACAAACTTGTAAGCCTTTAAAAGCCTGCCAATCGCCACCACACCTTACTTTAGTGTTTCTTAGGTTTTCCTCGATCTTTTGGTCGAAACTTGCCATGTAGTGATTGCATGTATCACTCTTCATGACGAAGTCCGGAATATAAGATCGAATGCTTCAGTGTATACACTTCTTTTGTAAATATTCTTGGGGGACCACCATTGGCATTACCAACTATGTAGAAATTAAATTCTGTCTTTAAGTTTATAAAATCGTAACACATATCATCAAATCATAATCATAAATCAATACAATGCAATATTTACAAAACATATTCAGCTTTTAAACAAGGTTTACAAAAAGTAGATCTATATAACAATGAAGATAATGTCAGATCAGCGTTGCTAAAAAACTCATAGTCCGAAATTCAAGTTGAAAATCAGTTACCATTAAAGTGTATGTTTAAACCAAAAGAAAATCCTGATGTCGTTATAAAGACGTGTGTAAATCGTTCAAGCTTACAAAAGAAAGGAAAAATTATTAATTTATAACCTTAATAAGGATAAATAGCATTAGGATAAATAAAACAAATAACAAACTCATCCATGCCATATGTGCTAAAAATTCAATGTTTCAAAGATTAATTTATGTACAAGGTTTACAAATGATAGATCTATATTACAGTGAAATAATGTCAGATCAGCGTTGCTAAAAAGTCAAAGTCCGAAAACCAAGTAGAAAATCCGTTACCATTATGTCATTATGTCGCTCTAAAGGCGAGTGCAAATTGATCAACCTAATAGCTAACAAACCCTCACAGAAAAAACAAAGTGAAGTGTGAAGAATGAAGATGCTTGAGATATGTCCGTGTGGGTGTGTAATAGCTAACAAACCGTAATCAGTAATCAAGATACTTATATAAACAAAATACCACTATCCTGGAGTTGTGCCAATCCACACCACACCCAACTTTAGTGTTTCTTAGGTTTTCCTTGATATGATGTTCGAAACTTTCTATGTAGTAATTGCATGTATCACTCTTCATGGCGAAGTCCGGGATATACCTAAATACTTCAGTGTACAATTTACTTCTTTTGTAAATATGCTTGCTGGATCGTCCCGTTGAATCTGAATGGGTAAAACATTTTAAAACAATCTCGGGATATGACGCTTATTATAAAACTCTACTGCCAGAAGTCCAGACTACTGTGATGAATAATCTAGCCCTGTCACTCATGTTATGTTGACTATAAACAGGAAAATGATTTATGAGATAATTTGTATTTATCAAGATTGCAATCAAAGCGTTGGCCTTATCCATCGCAATATGAATTGCCGTGATTGCTGCCTAGAATATTATCTTCTATTTGAAATAAACTCTGCTATAAATATTACTTAATTGAATCACGTTACCTTGATTTAAAACTCTGGCGGTCAGTTTCTTCTTAGCATATATAGCTGCCTGGTTGGCTAGTTGATTGCCCCACTTGATGTTGTATCTAGCTTTATGTGCTTCCTTCAGACATTCTACCTCCTCCGCCTTGGTGTAAGCGCCCAAACTAGCTTCAATAGAGATCATCAGGAGCAGGACTGAAATGGGGGAACAATCATAAGCACAAGTCCATCTGTAATGATTTATGATATTGTTTGGGCTGTAATGAAAAATTAAATTTTTGTTGGTCAATTACATAATGATTTTTTGTTTTTCATATAAATCTTCGATCAATCAATTATAATGATTTCAACTTTACATCCTTGACTTAATGGATTTTGCAATTTGAATTAGTATCCCCTCCTTTCACTTAGTATATTAAGCCTATTCATACCTGTTAAAAGACCAGAAGTGACACTCATCTCCATATTAATGTACTACCTAATGAAAATTAAGTAAGAACTTCGGTAAGAAAATAACCAAGTCCAAACTGTAAACTTCCATTTTCAAATGGATACTCTAAGCTCTAACTCGGGCCGATTAATAATCGAAATTAATAATCTAAATACACGTCAACCCGAGGGCTGAGGTACTTCAGAATCTAACAACTTATTGAATAATCATCAAAATTTAACCTGAATCAAGATAATGTAGACTGAAAATGATAACTTAATTGGAGCTGCGCACGCTTCCATATCGTTGAAGTCTCCTTATAATTATATAATAATCCAAATAAAAGATACGATGGCCTTCACATAATCTTAATCATCCAAGCCATTTCCATTGATCAATGATCATGCTTGGGTACGTGCTTTGTGTCTGAACGATATCATCTCTACAGTTTTCCAGTTAAAAGCAATTACAACTTCAAGGTTTTGACGTTAGATTATTTTGCCATGGACAAGTTGTGTGTAATAGCCATATAAATTATAACAATCCCCTCAACCCTGCAGGATCTGATCGAGGAGGACGTGATAATCCTGGATTGCAGTGACGAGGTGTTCGTGTGGATCGGAGCAGGTGCCAACGAGGACGAGAGATCGCACGGACTGGAGCTGGCTACAGAATACATCACCAGCGACCCCACCGGTAGAGATCCTGATGCTGTCACTATCTACCAGATCCGACAGGGACACGAACCTCCAAACTTCCGGGCCCACTTTGCGGGCTGGGACTTCCGGTTCCGGACATCCAAGATCAGTTAGTATTAATCTAGTTTTCAGCAGTGTCCGTTATTTATTTCTAAATGTTTAGCTGATGTTTACCTGTTAACCATTCAATCATTTCAATGTCATTTAAATTGCCGTTTTAGTGTTTTGTAGGAGGACTTTAAAGCTAAAGGGCTGTATAGCCCAACCAAGTTTTCACCCTATTCTATTTGTCTAATTATCACGTTCCCCGCGCCCTGTGCATCAAATTAAACTAAATTTGGTACATTGGTATTAATCGAGATCATGATTTGTCAACCATAAGTATAACAGAACTAAACGTAGTGAGGGTAAATCCGTGTGGTAAAATTCGTATTTTTAAAAATACAGCAAAAAATACAATACGCATTTTTCACCAAAAAAATGTGAGATGTTTCACTGTGGAGTTCTTTTGTCCGGAAAATGATGTAAGTTTGACATTCGACATGGAGACGGACAATTTGTTACGAATTTCAAGATAACTACATTTCCCCAAAATGGAACAAATAAGTCAAAAATAGAATTACATCTTAAAGTTGGAAAGATGAGTTAGATAGTTAATTCAGCTTTGACAACAGAAACAGAAACCACTGACGATTAAATGATATCGATAATTATGAAATATCTTGCTTATAAGTTCACATATTCGAGATTTAAAACGCACTCATGACGTTGCAATGTGTCTTTTTAGAAAAAACTAGTTAGATAGTTAATTCAGCTATGGCAACATAAACAGAAACCACTGATGATTAAATGATATCGATAATTATGAAATATCTTGCTTATAAGTTCACATATTCGAGATTTAAAACGCACTGACGTTGCAATGTGTCTGTCTAGAAAAACTTTTGGCTTCCTAGCTCAAAACGTTTTCACTTTACGACGTCAATAGTAAAAAAGAGGGGTGACGTGCCACACCCTCTGTAATCAATGAAATTTCCATTTTCTCGATATAATAGATATTCCATGTAGATACGAAATTCAGTAACAGTTAAGTGACATAATATCGTGCAACGCAAGTGGCCCAGTGCGTTTTAAATCTTGAACATGTGTCTTAAGCACGGTGTAGTATGTAATTCTAAATCTATTTTTGATGTAGTTCGATTTGTACGTAAGTCCGGTACGTAATTCCGGCACGTAAATCCGAGTGATTTCGTCACTCAATCAGTGATCTCATCAAGAGCTAGTAACTGAGTCAGCTAGATTAAGATAGCTACTGTAGCTCACTATGTTTTGTGTATCTTAATCTTATATATCCATAACAGTATTTACGTTACATTCGTGGCACAAACGTCAAAAACGGTTTTGGTTTTGTTAACGCAAACACCGCGGTTCAAATTCCTTGATGCTACGATATTATGATAGCATCGTATTATATCGTCACTTTGTTGTTGGATGACGGACCGCATAAGTATTAAGTAAGGGTATCGTGTCAACTCATTAATATGCAATAGTCAATATGAAAGTAGTTCAGTACGTAAAAATAATCCATAATATTCTGAATACCGAGTATGTAAGTACATAACCTTTCTTCTGGAATCTGGGTCCTGGCAAGTGGCAGTTACTTATTCTAACTCTGAAAACCCTCTATCACTATCAGTAACACTATCAGTAACAATATAAAAAATAAAGGACACACAAGAGGAACGTAGCTATTTATAGCTAATTATAGCTAATTATAGCTAATTATAGTTAATTATAGCTAATTATAGCTGTAAAGTCGTTTAGCTAAATAGTCAGTTCGCTAGAAGGTCCTGGAATATTAACCATTGACTGTCGACCTGTCCGTCAAGTTTCCGTAACAAAATGTCTGATATTTCTGAATTTCAGAAATCTCCGCCGAGGACGGTGTAACTCTAGCAAGTGACGCTCTAGCTCAACTAGAGAGAGATAACTATCCGTATTCTGAGCTGATTGATGGAAAATGTCCCGTCGGAGTTGACCCTTGCTCAAAAGAGGTAAAATCTGCTAGGATTGAGCAGTTATTGATACGTGCATTTTCGTTAAATTCAAGTTCCAACAATGAACAAAATTTCGATGCTTTTCATCTTCACTCTCACTTGCGTAATTATGCCCTCGCCCTCTAGCTCTGAAAGTGAAAATAGTTCTATCGATTTGATACGATATTAATCCTGTTTGGGCATGGCGTCGTGAACTTTATAATTATAATAGGTTAAAACCGATGAAGGATTCTAAGATACTAACAGCCCTGTATTATTGCAGAATTATTTGGGAGATGAGGAGTTTATGATGTTGTTCGGGATGGACCGTGCTAAGTTCCTAGACCTTCCTAAATGGAAGAAACTGAGTCTAAAAAAGGAGAAGAAACTATTCTAAGGGCGACATGTCAAGATCTTACAGATCCAACGAAGGAGTCTTCAAGTGTTATAGGGATGTATTGCGATATTTGCTGAGATGTAAAGTGCAATTATATTTTTAGGAATAGGTATCTAGATTGTACAGTGACTGTGAAGATAAGACATTTACGATAGCATTGATTATTCTTGTTCAGCTTTCTTTTAGGAATATAATTCAAATTTCTGCTTGGCCGTTCTTTATCTAATGCTTGAAAATAGTGATTAGTATTAAATTATTCACTTAATTTTGATTTATTCTACGATGTATGATATGTTTTGTTGTTGGAAATTTTCTTGGATTCATGTGTTATGTGTGTAAATTTGATATATCTATTTGTTTGTAAATTTTTATCTTTGGTTGTGAAATTCGTTTGCATGCATTTAATTTACAGTTTAGATCATTATTCGCTCAAGTTTTTGACCGGATGATATTTATTTTCATTTTACGTTTGAGTCAGTCCTTCAATTCTGTGTTATTTTTAGCCAGTTTTATCTCAGAATTATTTATGTTATTGTTTTAGGAGCTTTTAACTCTGCTGTTTGGATAACTGACGTGTATAATTCTTCTGAAAATTCAATATTTATTCAATTTGTCTCTCCATTTGTTATTTACTAAAGTTAACCCGCGTTATACTTATATACTAATACAGGGTGGCCCAAAAGTAACTGCCCACACACAACCCTTTAATAACTCCCGTAATTCTTCTTGGAATTGCACAGAAATTTCAGAGATTATAGATATGGGTCAAACTTAGATTTCCTGAAAGTTTCGTCAAATTTAATTAATTACAGTGGGCGTGGCAAAATCCCTTTTTTTCGCTATAGTCACCATAAAGTGAGAACGCTCTCAGCTAGGAACTTCAAAGTTTCTAGACATGTTTGGTTTGATAATTGAAGTGCTTTCCCAAAATTTGAAGTTGGTTACCTGGGGACCCCAGGCTATTATGTTCATTAACATAGAGATTAGGCGGAATGACAGGCTGAGCGCGGCCCAGTAAGAAGTTGGTTGTTCACAATTTAACTGAGTTATGACCCTTTTAAGATATTGCAGATAGTGATAACGTTTCTAGTATAGTAGGACTAGGAGGACACAATCAATAAAATCCCAACTCTATGTACATACTGCTGACTGAATTGTATTTGAACTAAGATAATAAAGATAACATCGTGATACTAGGTAAAAGTAGCTCTGTAATTCTCAGTTACCAGCCATTGCATCAGATCATTTTATTCAATCTGATCAAAATTTGAACCTTATAGCGCACGCATAAACAGCTGCGCGCGCAGTTATTTCCGTTAACCATAATGTTTAATGTATCATCGTTGCAAATTGTTTCTTATTCTCGCGCGTTCCATGAATGACGAATTTTAAGGCGCGGCCATTAGCCATTACTCTGATCTTCCTAGACGAGGAAATGGAGAAATTAGCTTGACTAGATAACCCGTTCGGTGAACAAACCTACATCTGTTACTGGTATTATATTTCTAAAATGAAGAGCAGCTAATTCTTCGAAGAATGGAGACCAGCCGGACTGAAAGTCGACAAACGATCCCCAAATTGCGAAACTGAAAACGGTTATTCAAAATTATGGACTGAATTTTAGTCATCAAATTATTTCCAAATTAAAATTTAACACAATTCTGCAACAGGATGTTAACGTTTAAAAAGCATAATTATGATACTCATAACTCGTCAACAGGCTACAGAGTCGGAAATCGGAGGACATACATTTGAATATTAACTTTTTATAAATGATCTCATTTTTATAGAAAATTTTAACTGTTTAGGATATTATATATAATTGATATTTGACTGTAAAAAAGTAGTCAGTCAGGTGGAGCGACAACATTAGATCGCTCATCATATACCGAGGACCGGTGGAAAACAATGTTTCTCAACAAATTGCTGAAGAAGAAACTGGAATTAATTTATGTATCACACATTGGTACTGCCCAATTATAACTGGGCCGTATGGTAGGACACCTGTACTTTCTAGCTCATCTATAGTTATTTTTAGCGGTAAAGTCACTGCTTGAAAGAAATTATGATCGCAATGAAATAACGAAATGCCTAAGAATTTTGCGCCCAACGCCCCATATATTATCACTCTTATCACTTACCATTTAAACTTTTATATGAATAAACATAATCTATTTATTACGACAAACTAGGCTATCCACTAAAAATATAACTGTAAAATAATTTCACTGAAACTTGTTACCCCTCGTCAAAAGCTACAACCAATTTTAGGTTTCAGCTGCAGTTATTTTTCGTAAAAGTTTTAGTCAGAGTTCAGGTGTCTGTGGTATCATAGTTAGTGAGGGAGTTTTCAAGATGGGGGACTATTCACATACCCAGTTATGGACACGATCATAAAGTTCATTCTCGTCTCATTGGTGTCCTTAAGGACCCCATGTATAATTCCAAAACGTCGAGTGGCCCACCGATTTCTTAACGATTATCGAAGGTAATACATATGGGTTACTCCCAATACATTTTTCGTCCAAAATTGGGCATGTATATAATGCCCGATTTGCACGAAAAATGTTTTGGGAGTAGCCCTTATATTATATTCCTACGATAATCCGTTGAAAATCGGTGGGCACTCGATGTTTTTGAAATTTACACACGAAGTCCTTAAATATACCAACTTTCCTGCTAAACAAGCTGTCACTGTAAAAGCAATTTAAGTTTAATTGTTACAGAGTAAGTTTTTAATTTGTATCCATAGTTTGAAGGTAGAGTTATTTAGTCGAATCATTAGCCTTTAAACTGGATATTTCCTTTCTGCCGAATTTGAACGTCACCAGGTCGACGTACTTGTGTACTTGACACAAAATCCTGCTTTGAAACTACTCAAACAAATCACCGCGACCTGATGGTCCTGACATAATCATGTGGTTACAAATGGCGGGATTTGATTGGCAGACAGACAATGGTATCTATTCGAGCTGTAAAGCTGTGTCATGATAGTACACCGCCTTTTGTTCACGTATAATAATGCACTGTTGTAGTGGATAGCATTGTGTCATGATATGATCCAGTATGGTCATGTGGTGGTGGGATAATGCAACATCCGGTGTCATGACATCACCATCACCATCACCTAGCCATTAAGAGCAGTGAAAGCACTGTCCACCTCCATCAGTGTTGCCGATTTGCGCACGGCCCCTCCCATACTACCAGATCACTGTTCATCTTAATGGCCAAAAGCGAGTGCCATGACTTGCACACTGCAGTGATTCGGTTACTATACTCACTGTACTATACTAACAGTGTTTAGTACTGCAGTAAAACTAAAATTTTCCGCACCCCGATTTACCGCACCTCTCCCCAAATCCCCAAAAATGTTCACATTTTTAGTTTCATATCACGTGATCCTTTGAAATAACGGCTTATAAAAGCTTGGCAGACTCATTACTTGTGCATAAATCAAACAACCGTTACCTGATGAGAATCTATAACATGTTGGGCACCAAAATTCCAAGTATTCCGCTGGATAGTTGGCTCACTGCACATCAATTGATGCTGATGGCACGCATTTTCTCTGTAACGAGATAAGTCGTTATGATGGTGGTCTCAGAGCGTGAAATAAGATAAATTAGGGACACAACCTCCCACTACTACCATGTGGACTAAATAGGTATCATTTGTTAATTTAGTGGCCCTATAATAGATACCAGTAACAACAGATGTGGGTCTGAACACATTTAGTGAGCTACATATATTAGGCAGCAAGTCATTAGATTTACTTACAGAATGATAGTTATTAAGGTAATCAACTTGGTGAGTAGCATAGTTAGTTACCTGGAACGAGCAGTTGTATTTCTGTATTTCCACCAACTTGAACTAAATAATTCCGCCCAACATCTCTACAAATTCCGCTCTCTCTCTCTCTCTCTCTCTCTCTCTCTCTCTCTCTCTCTCTGTCTCTCTCTCTCTCTCTCTCTCTCTCTCTCTCTCTCCTCTCTCTCTCTCTCTCTCTCTCTCTCTCTCTCTCTCTCTCTCTCTCTCTCTCTCTCTCTCTCTCTCTCTCTCTCTCTCTCTCTCTCTCTCTTCTCTCTCTCTCTCTCTCTCTCTCTCTCTCTCTCTCTCTCTCTCTCTCTCTCTCTCTCTCTCTCTCTCTCTCTTCCTCTCTCTCTCTCTCTCTCTCTCTCCTCTCTCTCTCTCTCTCTCTCTCTCTCTCTCTCTCTCTCTCTCTCTCTCTCTCTCTCTCTCTCTCTCTCTCTCTTATCTCTCTCCAGCACGCTAACAGTTCAATTATCGGACGATTGTAAATCGTTTACCACGCCCTTTACAGCTAATTAGAGTAATTATGGTGTGGTCACCCTGTTAACCACTCTCAGATCCAGTACACTTAGACGGTATATTTTTAGCTTGTACACCAAGACAGACTCCTTACATACGGGCTAGCTTTATCGTGGAGATGTGAATGGGACGACTTTCTTTGTCACGGAATTGTGGCGGTGTCTGAAAGTTATTTCTTCTCTAGACAATATAACTGGGGGAGCTAGAGGCACTGTAACAGTTTCAATTGTTCGTACTTTTACATACAGACCAAGCATTGTTGAGAATATGAGAATATGTGCCCTAAATGTGGAAAATTTTAGGAATATTGTTTTTCCCCTTGGCTGTTTCAAAAAGTGGTTTTAGTACGCCGTATGTGGGGAGGGATGGGGAAATAGTATTGGGGCTGGGGGAGTAGGTATTGGAAAATAGGTGGGGTAGGTAAAGGGATAGGATGTGGTTTGGTTAAAGTGGAGTAGGAATTTGGAGTAAGGGATGTGGGGTTTGGGGAAAGTTTGGGGTAGGGATGTTGGGGTAGGTAGGTGGAGTAGGGATGTGGAGTAGGGATGTGGGGTAGGGAAAGTGGAGTAAAAGGGAGGGGGGAGTAAGGGATGGGGAAATATGTATTGGGGGTAGGTATGTTTGGGGGGGTATGTGGATAGGGAAAGTGGGTAAGGGGGAATTTGGGATGTGGAAGTAGGGAGTGATAAAGCTATTCCCCCAGGGATTTTTTAGACGTCACCCCAAATTTTTCGAAAAAATTAGTTTTCACCATTACACACAAAAAAAAATAATAAAGTTTTTTTATTATTAAAACGGGGGAACAATACCCCATAAAAGGAAAACCCTTTAAAATACCTTCAATTTTGGGGTTTTCAAAATTTTCAGCCTCACGATCTTCCCAAAAAAAATTGGAAAAAATTTCAGAATTTGAAACCCCAAAAAAACAAAAGTTTTTCCCACTTTTAAAAAAAAAATATAAACTCTTTTTCAATTTTCCCAAGTTCCAAAATGCTTTCAAAGAAGTTTGTTAAAAAATTTTTCAAAAATGGGAGCGAGTAGGGGGGGTTTGCAAACCCGTGGTTTTTTTCGTTTTTAGAATAAAATTCCCTTAGTTTAAACCTTCCCCCACCCCCGGGAAATCACTGAAATCCAAACAATTTTAACACAACGAACTTCAGCTGGTGCTTATTCCAATGAAATTGAATTGCGTAACACAAAAAAATTTGGGACCTTCCAACAAGTTTTTCATGCAATTCCAAACCCCCGCCACCCCCCTCGGGAAAAACCCTATCACGTTACATCTAACTCAAACAAAGGGGGAAGGCTCTATACTAATGT